CGAGTGGGACTCTGGGACAATTGCTCATTGGATTAATACAGTCATTCTACTAGCGTTTCATACTCAACAGCAACATTATGTTTGAGTCCGTGTCAATTTAAAACTAGCCGCAATCTCACTCTATGATCGGCTTAAATGGGAATTTTAGCGTTGTAAGTTGAATGGGAACGGAGAAATCCTTGAAGGATTTCTCCTTCAAGGACGCACGCCACTGGAAACTGGTGTACAGTGTACATGGCCTCAGTAAACTTGTACTTGTGTTGACGAGCACATGATGAAGGTCAGATCCTGACCTCGGTCGATGGGCTAAAGTTATCGACTTGCGTCGTTTTTCCGAGCGTTAACGGTTTTCAACATCGTGTCTTTTACAAACTTCGCTACACGTTGAGTGATGTATCTAACCTTGGAAGGTATACTTTTAGTACAGTAATTTCGGTGTAACACTTGAAGTAGCCTCGTAGGAGGACAAATTTGGAGTTATCGTAATACTTGGTGTTTTTATCCGTCCTGCTTATGGTGAAGCTCTTGAACCCTTATCGTGGACGCTTTTATTGTGGCAGCCCTTCAAAACAACAGAACTTACATTAGTACTCAAATGGACTGATCGATTGAAGTAATCGTTTCGTTACTTAACCAATGTTTAATTTAACCTTCAGATCACTTCCATGAGCCGACCATTTCTGCTTATATTCTAATCCACCTTAATATGGTGAGACAAATTAGAAGGAACATCAGTGATGATTGATGCCGTGTGTAGTGTTGAAGATGCTTCTCAATTTGATAGAACAATTCTCCGCCTCGTTCAAGTAGAGGACGCTATCCAATTGCACTGACAGCGATCGAAGCTAATGGTTGTATTTCTTTGCGGCCACTGGTGGGAAGCATCAACTTGAAGGGCGTTTGATCATCAGCGTGCACTCATGTGGCGACCCCAATAAGTGCAAATGGTGTTGGATCTGATCTCAGTCCTATAATGTGCATCCTTAGTGCATCTTTGGATGGGATTTTGCTTTTTAAACATAGTGGGCGCCTACACGCAGATACCTTGCGTGTACCACACAACATGCGTACTCTGTCCGGAGATGCTCAATTATCCTACCTGACGTGGATGGCCTTATGTGTAAACAGCTCTCCCCAATTATCCACGAATCACAACTGATAGGCAGTACAACTTATATAGTTTTAAACATGGGTACTTCCAGTCAAATTAGACGACTATCGGTAAACGCCTTCGAATTTTCTACTCTTATTTTAGTAATTCAGAATACGTTTTTGTTACGAGGATGCTGATCTCGTAACTGGTGTTATTTATCAATCTTACTCATGGATATCACTGCATTATTTTCTACAGATTCGTATCTTATTTTATCTTCCATTTCGGCAATAGTCCATTACTTTTTCCAGTTCTGTAAACAGCTCTCCCCAATTATCCACGAATCACAACTGATAGGCAGTACAACTTATATAGTTTTAAACATGGGTACTTCCAGTCAAATTAGACGACTATCGGTAAACGCCTTCGAATTTTCTACTCTTATTTTAGTAATTCAGAATACGTTTTTGTTACGAGGATGCTGATCTCGTAACTGGTGTTATTTATCAATCTTACTCATGGATATCACTGCATTATTTTCTACAGATTCGTATCTTATTTTATCTTCCATTTCGGCAATAGTCCATTACTTTTTCCAGTTCTGTGAATGCCGGAAATTTGATGCTTTCGCTAGTATCTCAGCCCTCATGGAATTAGGCACCGAGACGGCGTTACAGTTTTAGTCGTAATGTTTGGGTCACTTGGAATGTTTTGGATGCTATCAATGTCTTATTGCAATTCCAGGGATTCTGACTGATTTGATTGAAGGCAACTGTATTTCTCCACCTCTTCGATTTTGAAATGTTGCTCAAAGCGCATTTCGTGTAATCCAGTACGTGTTCTTTCTCTCCCTCCGGTTCCGCTAGTATTTCTCTATCGCCTCAAGCAATCAGCATCACGCCAACAGCAAGGTAACCGGAACTCAGCCTGTTTTTTACAAGGTGACGACGCTCCTGTCTCCTCATTTTTTGCTGGTGCTATTCTCCTGCATGCTGTGCGCCTCATAGTGTTTCTCTTCTCTCAGGCTTTCATTTCTGTGATCTGTTCCGGTATATCTGGTTAGATGGGTGGCGAAGATGTATCTGTATGTGCATCCGCCCTTTTCTGGTTGAACTGTCCCCTCATTATCATCAGTCAACTTATAACCTTAGATAATGAAGGTGAATTATAACTTACATTCCATTTCCTATCCTGCTACGGACAGTTCTTACCTGTGTTTGTCTACACACTGTTTGCCATGCGCCTGAATGTTTCGTGAAATGGCGTACCAAAAAAGCTTGATTTCCATTGTTTTTGGGCAACGTTAAAATGTAACCTTGGTAAGAAACAAGGTCTATTCCTGTACAGTGTGTACGAAGCTTGTACCCCGTGTTCACTTGACGGCACAGTCATTCAAATCCGTACTCATACTTTCTCTCTGAAGGAACTGAGCTCCAAAGTTTCCGTGATTTGAACCTCGGTAACCTGTCTTATGGTTGGTCTCAGTGAACGTTGAGGTTCACTCTTTGTGTTTCCTCCTACAGCCATTGACAGAATTATACGGTTAGCTTATTTTTTGTGCCACCTTGTGTATCAAACATCCAACCCCACCCGGCGAACCTGCAGAAATAAATATCAACAGCCGTCTGCTGAGGAACGAAAATTTCTTCCGAGAGGTAGCACCACCGCGCAGGCGCAATAATTTTCAACCTCGATGCTTGCTTACATCTGTAGCCACAAACAAGCGAAAACCTGTTTTACATTATGCTTGATTCCCATAGCACTTTTGTGGCTGATATTGAGTGCTGTTTGGTCCACGCTTTAATAAAAAAGGTGGCACATTCATAGATAGCTTCATATGTCGTTCCAGGCGCCGTTTATTTCGATTGCCCACTTTGTGTACGGTCTTGTCATGCCACCAAATGCGGTACCGATATGTGTTTCAGCTCTTGCGTACACAACTGTTCATCAGTCACTGGGTTGATTCTGAGCGCCTTGTGTCATTCGTGACCTGTAGCGCTGCAATTAACTGCAGAAAACAATTAGACGGTTCGTTAACGAGAGCTGATTCGTGCCTGGCTTCATCTTGGACGAGGATGTTATCAGACTTGTGTCCACAGCATCCTCTATGAAATTTTCGCGCGCTTATGTAGATCTTACAGAAGTCACTTGGAACTGTTGAGTAATGTCCATGAAAGTTCAGTCAGACCGTCACTGGAGTCTTAAGAACTATCATCAGTCTCGAGAGATTTTCATGAGACGTGCAAGAAGCCGTGGTTGAACTCTTGTATCTCATTACGAGGCCCCTATGAAACTTGATTTGAACAAGAGCGATTGCTGCAGAATGCCTCGCGTAGGCCTTTGATGTGAAACAATCGACATCCCGTAAGACTCCTTGCTAACAGAATCCTCGTGCTCCTAAGTTTGGATATCAGCTGTTCCGATTTTAAACGCATCAAACAATGGTCGTTGGCTTGTTCGCTGAGCTGGGCAATTTGGTTGCAAACGTTCCATCACCAATCGAGGTGACATCATCAGTGCGTAGTTGTGCATAGCGGTGGGTTAGTGGTTGTGCGTTCAGTATTACGTGTGTGTTGATATACGTGCTGGTAGCCGGGGATGACCTTTGACCGCGATTAGTTATTCTGTCGGGCGGTTCCATTGGTTGTTCTTTTATTCCGTGTCGTCATTCGCCGATGCCCACGTGATAAAACGCTTGCAACCAAATTGCCCAGCTCAACGAACAAGCTAACGACCATCTACACTGCTTGAGCTACCGACATTCTCCTCTATAGAGCATCAAACAATGTTCGCATGATAGGTTTAAATTGTTCATTCGAAGATGGGACTCGTTCCTTGACAATGCATATATATATATATATATATATATATATATATTCATCGCTGGCCTTACAAATGAACGTTCGTTTACCTCGCTCTTCTTCAGCATCATGGCTGTGGTTCAATCCCGACTTTATAATCATGCGACGAGTTGCATGCCAGTAAAACTCTAATTAGACAATTTATGGAACGCTTCCACTGTACCTGTGGCAGCCTTTTCTTTGCGGAACCTAGTGGATAGGTTAATTCTTATACTAGCTCCCGTTCCTTTCCCATAGATCGGTTACCAACCGGATAGACAATTTAACGCTTCCACTGTAACTGTGGCAGCCTTTTCTTTGCGGAACCTAGTGGATAGGTTAATTCTTATACTAGCTCCCGTTCCTTTCCCATAGATCGGTTACCAACCGGAATTCGTGTAGTTATTTGCCTTGAATGCGAGGTTGAGGTACTGTGTTGGACAGAATTCCTCGCCTTTAATCCGAGTGATACAAGAGACTACACTTCGCTTGCTTCGAGCGGAACAGTCTGAAAAAAATGTATTCGATGCTTCTATTTTCCCTCCCCGTCGTGTTTTTTTACAAAGTGAACGAGACTTGTCTGTGGTTTATCCGCTCACCCTCTACCCAAAAGTGGTTTTTTGATAAACTACGTTACAATCGGCCACTATGTACTTATTCTTTGTGTGTAACGAACACTTTCACCTACGATGCATACCTGTGTATATGAGCGAACAAATAATATTGATTTGTCGCATGGAATTCACCGACTTTTTCCGCAAGGTGCATGTATTACTTATTCTTGGATAGTATTGCATGTCATTGTCCTGCATATCGAAAATCGTGACCTGCGTATCAACATGAAATGCAACGAACTTCACTTTCTAATCATCTAATCGTTTCAACGATAATGGTAGGTTAAATTGTTTAGCAACGAAAGTCCGCCGTTTCGAAACATTAAATATCCATAGCAGCATGTGTTTCGATCATTCTATTTGTTAGTCAGACGTTGTATTCATCAGGTTTCCCTCCCCTCACAGCCTTAAAAATACCCTCATGTTTTTACCGTACGTTGGTTACACTTTCAGGCTCGTACAGCACCCTGCTCCGTGAACTCGTCGCGGAATTCACTTTGACAGACAATGTGGCCAATACAACCACTTCCCTGTTGCGCTCCTTGTGTCGTTCGGATGATAGCGTTACATTGGGCTGTTGGATCCAGGATACGGACCAGAAAATATTGGAGGAACAGGTGAATTCCAGATTTCTGTATCATCGTCTTTTAATGCAGCAGTCTTTCGTTTGCGCCATATTTGATTTGTTGTTTTCTCCACTTATCCTGAAGTCAAGCTGGGGTCTTTTCTGTCGTGACAGCCTCGTGAATAGTTCTGCTTCCACGCAACAAAAAATCCAGAGGCCTTAAATGTGTATCTCACTTTACTCAGTGACCATTAGAGAGGATAATAGAAATTCACGGTTCAATGGCACTAGCCTACGTTTCTGGCGTACTTTCTACACAATAGTGAAGTAACGAAGTTCGACTTCGTGAGTGTGCGAGACTTCAAGCTTCGTCAGTCTAACTATTTTATGGTAGTTTCATTTCTCCTTGTTTGAGGTCTAGACTGTTTATTTGTCTACCTTGATTTCCTGCAACCAATATCTTTTGGCAGTTTTTATTGATAATGATGTCTTCTACCAGCTCATGTGTCGTTCTGTCTTACAGGTTTCACTACTGATAAATATACCCTAACACTTCTCCCGGTCTGTAAGCGGTTCGAATAGGTTTTGAATAAGTTTGGATTCGATGCGTTCAGGTGAATGCTGAGAATGTCAGCCTGCATGTGTCTAGGCTTGCATAGCTGGTTATCATGTGTCGAAGTATCATCTTGTTCTCAACACTTCTAAAATCAGTTGATGCTCACTTCTTTTCGTGGTAGATTTAGATTAACGTGGCAATTCCAACACAACTCGTATGTTTCATATGTTTTTAGGCGCCTAATTTACTTGGAAGATTTTCGATCCTTTGCTGAACTACAATTTCCCGCGAATTATCCATTTGTCAAATTCAGGTCGTGCATGCTCTATTATAATAGGTCACCAATGATAACGAGGATCCAATTGGTAGCCAAAATTGATGTGACACACCGGTGCTATGGTATAAGTCAGATATGTCAAAATAACTGATACCGCTGCAGCCATGGCGGTCTTTCGTTTAATCGCAAAATCGGTTTGCAGATTTCCTAAAGGAGCCTACGAATGCAGGCCACATCGTTTCATTTCTGATCCTTAAGCAACCATATTTGTCCTACTCTGATGCTATTTGCAACTACCTGCATTTTAACCGCAAGACGTCATCAGTATGACCGTTTCAAGAAGGAAATCATTTTTCACTTAGTCTTATGTTGGTAATACTTAGGATCTTTGTGAGTGGCTTATCCACCGTCATCCTCAGACCCCCCTCGTGAAACGGCTGTCGAGTGCCCCGAAACCACATTCAATGACGATACTTATGTGTATTTATCGGTTTCAGTATCTGCCCAGCTGGGCATATTGACCAAACATCGAGACAACTAGCAGAGAATTAGGAAGCATCCACTAGCATGACAATTGGACAGTACGACAAATAGCTGACTATTCAACCATTGATCTTGGAGTGGCTTTAAATCACTGCAATAGGCCTTTCTCATTGTATGTCGAATACTCCATGATGAAGTCAGGGGTATCGGAACAGAGATTTTAAATATGGATCTACGTCGTTTCACTTCAAATCGATGACCGAAGCCCTTTTGTTGTCCTAACCTACCGTGGATCAGGAGTTTGTACAAGCTTCTGGCTTACATTGAAATATGTAACTCGCACTATCTGTGCACCGCGTCTCACTGACCTGCCAAATGTTAATCGTTAGGAACGCTTTTGTCGTTTGAACGTTTTCTAGTAACCCGTGACTCCGAAGTCTCAGAAGAACTATAGCCATGGGTCTATCGCACAGGTTTCCGCGCCTAATGCTCTGTGTATTCTTGAGCAGAATTTCATCATATTCAGCTTACAATGTGGCCTTCTAGCTTACTACAATCATTCCGAGGTGCCCACAGCTCCAAATACCCATTTGGAAATTCTGAACAAAAACTGACAACAAAAACACCACTGATATCGGTTGGCATCCATATCTTGCAGCGTCTCCAACCAGGAGCAGTGGGGATCACACGGTCCCCATGCCTCATTACGGGCCCTGGAATTCACTGGCAGTTACCCGTTTATAAGTGGATTGGAGGTTTCAACTGAAATTCTTTTAATTCCTTTTCACTCCTACACTGTGTTTCGTTTCCGTTTATTGTTGAGTTTCTACTAGTGCATTTACGAATTTATTTGGTTGCTACCTGAAGCCAAACCTTTCACGAACTTTTGTTTCGTCAGCTGCAGCCCAACATCGGCGGAGCTCCTGGCGCACTGGAACACGATCCCGCCTTTTTGTTTCTTCGTGAAGGATTGGTTGGCACTGTGGTATGTTAATCCTAGCGTTCATCCCTTACAATTTTTTTCCGCCAAACCCCTTCCTCTTTCTTTGTCGGTTGTTGGTTTTGAACGCGTTTTTTATTGTTAGGCACTCGTACGAGGATTTCTTCCTCATTCCTAATAGTTTATTTGACGTGTGTGAAGAATCTTTGCATCCTTCTCTATTGGGACGGTGTTTCAACCGGTTACATGAAACTTCCAGATTGATTGACGAATCTATTTCTCATACGCGTTTCTCAACCAAACATCTCAAGTGCATTCACGTTGCGCTAGTTCGCCTAGTAGCTTCAGAAATCCTTTACTAAAGGTATGCGTTATGCGCTGGTTTTTTGGTGTCTCGGTGCGTCCACACCCCCTGCAATGCGTTCGAAATGACAATGTGGTCTATGCAGGTACGGTATTTCTTCTGTTCTGAATCTGATACGACCGCATATCATGTCAATCGTGAGAGCTCAACCGTTGGCATTTTTATTACGACCAAACTCGGTCGCTTTTTTAATATCCTAGTAGGGAGAATGTGGTGCATTTGTTACAGCTCATGGTACCCCGACTCTAGTTATCCTCCCACTCACTAGGTTGCTCGTATTAGCGGTTCCCTTAGGTTGGTATTTCGTATTGTTATGTGAATTTCGTGAATAATGTAAGTGGTGATTCAAGCCTATTGTACGCTGCAATAGCTTCTGGCAGCCAAACTTACCAATATCACTAGTTTTATTCGGTACTGTTGAATACAAAGCATGACAACCTTAAAATTAAGTTAGTCTTATTCACCCTGAAGCTATGCTATATGCAAGATTAAAGTTTTAACAAATCGTGCTTTCGCTGTAGACTGCCTTCCCGTAAACCAAGTGACGATGTCTATCAACGGTGGTCGCATACTGACGGACGCGCTTGTTGTGCTATCGTCTTGTTGCTTGTGCTGTCTAACTAATTTAGTAAAATTAACGTTCCATGGAAATCGCCCTGCACGCCCCTATAGATGGGTCTGATTTCGTTCCACTCTGAAATACATTATTGCTTCCGTTCCCAGGTGTCAGCAACCTGTCCATCAGACAGCGACATCAACGACGGCGATTCCTACAACTCACCACTTTGTTCCCCGTCGGCTTCATTCTATGACACAACCAGCATAAATTTTCCATCTTTGTCACGCCTCGGCTTGCCAACCAATGTCACCACCGCCCTCACGAACAGTACTCCCTCAGTGGTCACCGTCCTTCAGTTGGGTGGCCCCCCACCTATTAGCGTTGCTGTAATAGATTCAGCTGTGGAGCTCTTTGGTAGAATCTTTCCTGCCGTACCCATTCGTCACCGAGCCCAAATGATTGACCATTTCGCCGAGTGTATTCGCCTTACAAAGTCAACGCGCCAAGAAGCAGTTCAAATCAATGTTTTCGCGGCTCTACTAGGTGCACTACGTCGTCTTGCTGAAACTAAAGTCGCGTTTGGCGAAGACGTGGAATTGCGCAAGTCGACCGCCAACTTGATCATGGTAATGATGTTTCAGAACAGTGTCCCCTAACCAACGTTTTTGACGTCACCATTGGAAATCATTTTCCCCCCAAGGTTGTACTCTTCATTAAGGTCTTTTGCGTGCTTAATACCGTTGAAAAATGGTCGCTTTCATGTCTTTCTTCGTTGCTTTTGTTCCAGAATGCTCTCACAAGTTCAAGTTTACTTCTTCGGTGCACAGCTGGCGAGTGCCTGGGACGCTTAGCGCAAATTGTTGCAGAACCAAGCTTTCTAGCTGAACTGGCCCAGCAGGTATTTGATCGCTTGCGCTCAGTGCGGATACCGTTGTCTCGTGCGGGACACTGTTTGGCTGTCGGGTGTCTTCATCGCTACGTTGGTGGTCTCGCTTCTGGTCAACATTTGAGCACAAGTGTGGGCGTTTTGCTTGCTATAGCACAGGATTCCAGTGTGCCTGAAGTGCAAGTTTGGGCCATACATGCACTCGCCTTGGTTGCTGATTCTGGTGGCCCAATGTTCCGTGAATTCGTGGGCCCAAGTCTTAATTTGGTATTACAACTACTTTTGCGTTCACCGAGTGCAGTGAGTGATATCCAACACAGTTTGGGAAGATTACTGAGCGCACTTATCACTACATTAGGCCCCGAACTGCAAGGTTAGTTACTTTGTCTTTTTCTGTCCTAGGTGTATCATCATTTGCTAAAGAAACGCGTACATTTAGCTAACGTAATGTAGTTTCCACCTCTTCGTGATTGTAACCAGGGGATACTGTTTTGACTTTTTCTAACTTCACCCGCCCATCTCTTACTCTTAGGGTATTCTGGGCTTATTTAGTATATGGAGTGCTCCCCGTTATCGTAACGGAAAACAACGATACTCCGCTTACGTGTGGTTACTTGCGATCGCTACGTTGGCAACCAGCCGGTTGCATGGTTTTTTTCGGACTGCAGATGTTCTTGTATCGTCTTCAGAGACAAGTTTGTATGGCATCTTCTATCCGCAAACCAACAATTCTGTTTGTGGTAATCCGAGAGTATTCAGTTCAGTTAATCATATACCGCGGGTTATTGTGACGTTTTTTTACACGCCTCATTTCCATACATCTTAGATGAACAAGAAAACGTGTATTTCACTTTTATAACGCATTAAGTGCAATCTAAGCAGACTCCACACTTCAGCCAACTGTGACTGTTTACATTGGATAAATCAGTAGACATTTAGAGGTTCGAATCAACGATCACAGACCTTACTCGTGGGCCGTTTAAAAAAACGCGATTGAACCTCATGCATTAGCAGAGAAATATCGGGTCAAGTTTGATAACGTGCATATATTGCGGCAAAAAATCGTTCAGCTGTAGCACCTTTTCGGTGCTTAACTGGCGTGTCACCAGAAGGAAGCACAAGGGTGAGATGCTGCCAGGTTGCTCAAGCCTAAACAGGTGAAGTCGAGAGACAAAGGTTGGATTCGAACCACGGACCCTATGGTCAGTAAATTCGCACTCTAACTGAGCCATCTTGTCCCCCAAAGGCTTGAGGCATATGCATATGTAAGCATATGTTTAATCAGTTCTTATTCACATGATGTCTTTGTACATTAACAGGTCTCACAGTGTTATCTGCCAGCCTACTTCATCATTAAAGGGTGAGTCAAGCACTAGAGACCGCACGTGACACGACAACTCAGCCCCCAGATCGGGTATGAAGCATATACATAGTGTAGCACATCCGTACGCGCAAGCGGCCAATGATGTTCGCTCCAATCGGAGCACATACGACAGTTTGTTAACCAGTCTCTAGTTAGCCATATTTGTACTGTTCTAATCAGCCATTCGTTCCTTGATAGCGGCCACTCGGTGGTGGAAGCGTTGGACAGCTTCATTCAATATAGCATCTTTGTAGTCACCAGGGTTTTCACTATGGAATAACAATTCATGGCTCCTTAACTTTTTCAGCTCCCCCAAACTCGCAGATAGTCTACCAACTTATGAGTTCCTACTCGGCAGGTGTAACCAGTGTGTTCTGCTTCCTTAAATGTCTCCCTGGGTTGCTCTTCTGCAGGGGTTCTACTCCGGTGTGCCGTAAAAGTCGCTTTAATTTAAAAGATGTTTGTACAATCCCACAATGATCTGTCTACTTCTTGATCCAAACTGGTAATTATATATTCGATCCTATGAATACTCAGCTCTCAATATACATTTTCAACCTTCGAAGAGCTGTAATCCGTGTACCAGATAAGCAGTCTGGGGTCTTTGATATCTGCACATCCGTGTATGAATATCGACCCTATATCTCATTTTCACAGGTTCTGGGGCCTCAGTTGCCAGTTCACGACAGGCATGTTGGTTTTGCTGCTTGATTATGCAAGAGTCGTCCGATGGTATGCTACAAGCCGAAGCAGTTTCCTGTTTGCAACGATTGCACATGTTTGCTTCACAACAAATGAAGATGCCTGAGCTGGTAGCCTCTCTCCAGGTAACGCCTTGTCCTTGCAGCTCGATTGTTTTTACTCTGGGCATTGCGTTTTTCTGCTCCGTGTTCTTTTTATACGATTTGCTGTGATCCTTTCTGGAAAGATGTTGATTGCTTCTATTCTGTTCTTTGAAAATTCATCATTGATCTTGCGCTGGAACCAGTTTCAGGGAACTTGAAAATAAGTTTAGTCTATTCGGTTAGCTTTACTTATTTTAATCGAATTGCGGAATTCCGTCTCGGAGCATGATGTGTGTCGCACGCAAGCGGGGAAGGCCAAACGCCACTGGGCAGTACAGACACTCAATTTTAGTAAATGGAAACCAGAAATGAATGCGCTCCATAAGTGCTTACCAAGCCCATCGTTTCTTGTATCCCTTCTTTGCATCTCCTCTTTAATCATCAGCCGTGACTGTTGCTGTTATGGTGAATGTTTAAACCGAATCGACTCTGCCCTGCTGTTAACTGACCACGCGATAACAATAACTTTCATTAGTACGATGCATCATAATTCGTCAGCAAGCGGTGCTCATCACGTTTTGCCTCATGCGAACCTTCTGGTTTATCTCTCTGAATCGAGCAGTCTCTTCCATTGAACAAACTTTGTCTGATCTTCTTGAAAGCCGTTATTCTCGGTCAAAATCGTTTTTGTTGTCAATTTAGGACTACATATCAAGTCCGCATCTGTTGCTTCGTCGTGCTGCGGTCGCATACCTACGGCAGCTAAGTCAAAAGGGCACCGATTGTTTCCAAGAGCTAACGGACATGGTACCCGTGTCTGCCAGTACTGACGGTGCATCAGTGAACGAGCCCAGCGAGACCACTCCTCTGTTACTGCAGTTGTTCGGTCGTCTAGACTTGGAGACAGATATGCAGGCGCGGCGTGACGTTGAAGAAACAATCTTGAGCTTCTTGCAGAGTTCGTTTCACCACAGACTAAAGCACTGGCTAAACACATTGAAAGAAGTTCTCCAGGTAAATCTATTCTCGCTATACTGAACCTCTGAGTCTATATTTGCAAGTATGTATTGTTAACATCCGTCTGTGTTTGCCAAATATGTAACTTCACCCATTCACCTTGGCATGCATGTTTCTTTGTGTAGTACATCTGAATCGAGCTTTAGCTTGGAATTCTTGATTTTGTGCACTGACTAAACATTGCACTGGAACAATTCGTTTGAGATTCAATCAGCCTCAGCTGTACGGAGCTATAAAACCCTTTGCGGAGCAAGAAGGTTGAACTGGCTCGCAAAGATTTGCTTCGGAAAATGGTTTCTTAATTAACAGACCAAGACAAGTGGATGACTTTTCGGGTGATCACTTTCACTGCCCCAAGCTGAGCCATACACGAAAACGAAAAAGGATGTTTTTTTGGTTTACTGGAGAATTTTTAAGGTACAGTATATAAAAATGCAGAAACGTGAGAATAGCAACACAGATGAAGGAATACGCACTGACGGCCGTCGATGGGCTTTAGTAGACTGGTACCTTCCGACATCGCTGGATGTGAGACTTCTAGTGCTTGCTCTCCCGATCGCTGTAAATCAGCTATGCTAATTCATAGTTCTACATAAGTGATTGTAAATGTCTCTCGTGTTCTTTCCTTTGTAAATGGTTGTCCCAGTCCATTTGCTGTTTTCCTTTTCATTTGTGGAGATTGAAGTTGTCTAAATTGCTATATATGCACGAAACTTTTTACCACTAGAACGGCCAGGTTGTCCTGTGGGATCTTCGGCCGCGCCTGGAATTAAGGAACTTATCCGATAGCTGTGATAGTCGCCTGAATGTCACAAACTTTGTTTTCTACGTCTCTTTCAAATTCTGTTTCAGTTAGTCGATGTAATTACAGGTGGCGAGGCAGTGGAGGTCAGTATGTTCGAAGACGAATTGTGACTCACCAGAATATTGATGATCGCAGGATGTTCGTGAAGACTCCATAAGTTGGTTAATAGCAGCGTACGTGGTCGTGAAGGGCGTTTCTGTAATAGTCATGAATCTGCACCGGCTGCTACCGCTATGTCATCCAGTTCCCTTTTTCGTCCACCTCCGGGTTAAAATGGTGGAACCCAAGAATTTAAAGTCGCTAAACTGCTCGACTAGTTTGCTTCTCACTTTAAGAAGCTGTGTGTGCACCTCCATGCGAGTGGAGATGAAACTTATCATCGAAGTGTTGACATCAGCTGGAATAAGACGTTTCCAGTTCCCGTGGATGTATAAGACGTTTTCACTTGGGATGCAAGACCAACAGGGGATATTGCATTAGATCTCGTACTATGATGTAACTAGTGAGACATTTGGTGGAACTAACTCCGCAATTAAGGTTGACCACGTGAATGAAACTGTTGATTAACTTTCCGTGTCCTTAGAACTAGAAACCAGTTGTATTCAAACGAAGCAGCCTACTGTAACGGCACGATAAGTGACTTAAACATTCGCGCACTAGGATCAAAGAGCTTCTAATGCTGTACACGGGATAATTGACTGTCCAAGACCAATAGCCACGGGCGGGATGTTCTACACACACACACACAGGTAGAAAACTTGAGTCTGGGTAAGTGCTTGCCTGCGGTCCGTTGGGAAAATTTTATGTTATAAAAGCCAGTCGAACTTCTAGAACCGTCCTTGAAAAGTGTGTGGAAGTTGGTATCGTGTATTGCAGTTCGGAGAAAAACTCTTTATCCCGGATAGCTTCACTTTTAGCTCACCAGTCACTGGAAAATGAAATTTCTCAACAATTATTTGTTTGTTCAGTCCACATATGTCCATATGCAGTCAAGCAGTATCCAGCTTTTCCCAAAAGGGCGCACTTATCCGGAGTGCTGAATGATATATTGTGGCATATTTCGTGTCGCTTCACAAGCAGGTCGTCATTGATGAACTAAACTTTGTCTCGTACCCGGTCGCGGATGAATGTGGTGTTAGTCGTTTGGAATGTTCCGTAAGGTATTGAGAAAATATATTTTGATTCCAACCTATAAAAATCGATAGCTGTTGTCTAAATTCTGTCTGCACCGGGTTACACTTAAAATTACCATAGCGTGCTGACCAAGTAAATGCTCACAATGATGGTACTCGATACATACACGGGCCACAAATTTTGTCCTTCCATTTATTCCACTTGGGGCTACCAAGATGGTTGATCGTTAGAGAAGCCTCCAAATATATATGACGATAACCAAATAGACAAGTGACTTAACTGCTTCGTGAAGAATTGATTAGGTGTGATTGTCACTGATTGCCACTGAACGGGCAGAGTTAACTTCCATATGCAAAGTGGCGATGTCGTCATTGAGATGAAACTAACTTGTTCCTATGTTAGATGCTGGGTGTCTAGATTCAGGATTGCTGCGTATAGATGGAGAATTGAGTAGTATAACAGAGCAATTGGGCGCCTTATTCGCGGAAGTTCACTCATTAAAGTGCACGTGATCAATATACGCAAACAAACCGTCCTCGTTTGTCACACCGATTGCTTGATATCTACAAAAGCTCCTTTTGTTTAATAACAACCTCCAGACATGGTATCTCATGTATCCCGAGGAGGGGATTCTGCTGGAATATTTTGCTTACACACTTCAGATTTGACCTGAACCAGATCATATGAAAAACCGGCTTTATCGAAACTTAGTTTAGTAGAGCCAAGTAGATTTGGTCGTCTCATTTGCCGCCTGTAAATTTCTGTATTAAAAAAGCTTCGTCGACCTCACTATAGTCGAAGTGCCGGCACGAGAAAGACAAGTAAGTATTAAGATAAAACCGATCATTTTTCAACAGTGGTAGTGTACCACATACCTCTTGTCTGTGATTCTGGCTTTTTCTGATGAGTTAAGTCCATCACGTCGGGCAAGTGCGTGTCTTCGTGATACGGTCCGACGAACTAGCACGCGAAGATATCTCTTCGGCAAAATTATCTCCATTCTCACACATTTGCGTATCTTAAGATTGTACAGGAAAAAAAAACTCTTACTGAATTCATATAACTGTGGTCAACCAGCGGTCTACTCACAAGGGTTGGTCGGTCGTGATCCGACTAGTAGTTGTTATGCTGTCACTCTGACCGGTAAGCTCTTTCCTCGGCTTGGCCAATGTAGCCTGAGCTTCTAGAAGATCAGTTTTTGTTTCCACAAAACCTGTTCGTGCAGACGAATTTCGATAGCTCCATCTGCTGCCTATTAAACACGACAGATGAGTCGGCAACCCAACCTCGGATTTACAGTGTGATCTATGTTGACAGCATGTTCAACGACTGCGCTTTTTTCTTATTCCGCTGTCCTTTTTTTCAATCAGACTGTGCATTTTCCAAGAGCCTCTTGGAAAAATGTCTCTAGGTCTGACCAATGTACCCAGTATCACACGATCCCTGAACTAAATACACACACATAATTGTGGCTATTCCAGTAATGCGGACGGCGGGTTGGCCCGGGATAAACTAATCCTTGTCACACGTAAACCGCTAACTGACTACTCGCTGACTGCAGTTATGTGAATTCAATAAAATTTCTCACCTTTGCCCTGTTCTGCAAATGTATGGAACTGGGATTGATTCTGCCGAAGACCTATCGGTATTTTTCTGTCTGTTCGATGGACACATTCAGTAGTTTTAACTGACTTGTGTGCGATGACTAATGCAGAAGTGCAGGATACTGACGTGAGTTTAGTGGTTTTCATGCAGCGCATCACTAGGCAAATTCTGCTGTATTTGTGTGGGCGCTCGGACTAAGTGCATCTTTTTTCTAACATTTATTTGTTATCTCCAGGTTCTCAGTGTTGCAGGGTATTTGTTAAGGTGTAAGTTTATTTCCTAACTGACGCAGTTTGAACTTGACAATAAGCATCAAGTTTTGACTACCCACAACGAACGCAGTCATAAGGGACAAAGGGTGACAATTAAACTGCGCGACCATTGTAACTACACCTTTTTTATACCAGCTTCATGTCAGGAAGAGCCGCCCCGATGGTGTGCTCCCATCATTATTGCTCTCACTACGACAAACATCCTTACAAGTACATAGCGAATTCGGCCATGATCAGTAACCACATTTGTAGCTTGCAGTTTGCGGTCGATAATTTGGGCCCCGAGAATCAATATCTTGACCTGCACCTGGTAGTACTTCTTGCTCAGCGTATATCAGCTCTACAGTACTCTATCTTCGAGTCAAGTTTTCGTAAAATTTACCTGAAGTTGGTAACTCAGCTTAGTACTGCGGTTATTATTGTCAGGCTTTTTGTTCCTATTCTCCGCATCATTCCTATAGGCAGCTACCAGTGAGAAGTCACCCGCGGAACAACCATCGGAATGGGATCGAACAGCAAAAGGACTCAATGCGAATATCTCACCATCGCGTAGCTCAGCCAGTCGAAATCAAGATTTCGCGATATCCGCCGGTGAGGAGACCCAAGCAGTTGAGGACGATGCACAAGAAGATGATACTGGTGTTGGGGATACATTGGGTGGCGCAACGCAACTCAATGCTCCTGCAACCATCAGGCTCAATGCGAGGTAATTTGAAGACGGTCTATCAAATCTAAGTCGCCTACCGCCTGCACTGACTCGATTTTGTGATCATTTTGGAAACACCACTTACTCCTCTTCGTTAGAATTGTGTATACAAAGACCGGTTGCAAAACCAATCACAAGGATCGGTGATAGAGTGTCATTTCTTTCAGTTCTCATATCTAATAGACGTTTCCTTGCTTGAACCGCATATGATGCACCGAATTTCATGTGCTACTTCATTTGTTTACCTTGAACACAACTCTTTTTTTGTTTTCCGAGACACTTGTCTGGTAATTATTGGTTGCTACGTAACCTTCTGTAATTTCTATGACATTCCATCGATATTGTTTCATACTCTTCTTAGATGGGGCACAAAGGTGTTCGCGGTCGGCTGCTTACGCGTTGTCATCACCTCATGCTACCGTCTCGCGCAGACTGCTGCGAAAACTTCTCCAGCTGTCCTTGTCTGCATTGATGGAACGATGCCGCATCATGCTACAAACTCCGTCTGCGAACCCATGATCAACCACAATTCCGTCGCGCACTTCGACCTCGCTTTGGCACGCTGTCTGCGCGCATCGAAACTGGACTGCGCAACACCAACCCAAGATTTTCTGGTTCTCCATTTGGCAGACTTAGTCCGCATTGCCTTCATGTCAGCCACATCGGACAGTGACAGGTTACGAATGGCTGGCCTGAAACTAATGCTTGAGGTCATTCACAGATTCTCTTCTGTACCTGATCCGGAATTCCCAGGTGAGCTTACTTACTTAGCCACTCGCAATTCCTATTGCAGGTTTCCTAGCTTTTGCCCAACTATTCCGTGGAGCGAAACAACAAAAGATATTTGTTGCATGAAAATGCACTTGTTTCACATTCGTCTTTACACAGTTGACTGGTCTTCTACTAGCCACGTGCTTTTATACTCCTAGCTTGTCCCTATCCGTCTAAACCACGAGTATAGCTACACATTTCTCAGGGTGTTTTCACATCCAGTCACCAAGACTTCTCAACATTTTACTTTTTAGGCTCTAAATCTATTCATTCCGGCAAATCAGAGGAAAAAGTGCTGTCTTCTACATTCTCAACCAGGTTTGTATCTGTTTAGGACCGGATACATGGTTGTGTGGCTATCCACCTCTGGAGAGACCAACTGGAGGGACCGACCAAAAGTTATCTTCCGGGGGGCTGTGTTGTAGGAGAAATAACTGTAGCAAGGCTAGTAACATTGCAGGAGCCGCATTTTTTCACATCATTAAGGCTCGACTTGAGAACTGTCATTTCTTTCTAATCAGGTCACAGCATTTTGGAGCAGTATCAAGCTCAGGTATCTGCAGCTCTGCGTCCGGCCTTCGCTCACTTGAACCCCGAAATAACTTCCATCGCTAGCCTAGTTTGTAGTGCGTGGCTTGTTTCTGGTGTCACCGGTGGCTGGCAAGACCTACAGCGTGCTCACAGTTTGCTACAGGAAGCCTTCGAAAATTGCAAATTGGGCGACTTGAAATCCAAGCCTGACGGACGAAGCGTGAGTCCCCAACTTTATTCCGATGATGCCTTATGTATGGAAAAATTGGCCGTCTTACGAGCATGGGCAACTGTCTACGTCGCATGCGCGCAACATGGCAAACAGATCGCGCGGGATGGGCAGAATTGTTGTGAGGATATAGGTGTTCAAGATGAATTGCCGGATGGCGTTGGTGAAGAAGAAAATCTACCCGAGGACGAGCCGATTGATATGGATGATGGACCCCAGCATTTGTCTTACCCAACGGGTAGGTCATTTATCTTATAGAATTTGACGCAGTGGTATTTTTCCCACCACCACTGAGGAATAAATATTGCTTGACACTGCGGTAGGCTTTCAAAGTGCCTACCTCTCTATAACTTTCTTCCTGCACCTATTACAGTTCCGTGTTGAGGCAAACTATTGTCCATTGTTATTCATTTACGTTGTCCCTTAGTAGGCTTTAATCAGGGCGATAATAACTTCACGCAAACTCGCATGTGCTACGTAAAATGTGGGCGGGTCCCGGAAAAATAGGCATAAGGACGTGACTGGCGTCAACCATACAATGCACAACAAGGTATCGGGCCAGCCATGCTTTATTTTGACTGGTGGTTCTAGCGAACACCACTCGATACTTGGCTAAAATAAGTTACGAAACTGGGTAGGGGAAATTTTAGTCTTGAAATCGATTCTATCTGGCACATGCCTGGGTACGCTATTCCTAACGCTATTATTGTTTCAGCCTCCGACTGATTTTCCGTTACAATTTAGGGCACTTTTTGAGCAAGTGCTGTGATGGGATCCTGAAAGCTTCTCCACACGATACTTTCCGTCCTGGTGGAGGTGAGTGGTTTTGGCAACGTGATCCCTTGGCTAAAAATAGCCGTTTTAGTTGCCTGACAGGTACGGTTATCTTCCCCCATGAAAACAGAGAACTAGCGAATTCTATTGAGCCGAAACCACACGACCTTGAGCTTTGTATAATATTAGAGCACAACGTGACATTTTAGGTCTAAGAGCCTAAGGAGTTGGGCACTGGATCCCAATTGCAACTGCTTGTATCTGGTGCGACTAAATGAACTTGCAGGATAAAGCTAGAATGGAAGTATTTGGTGCAACAGTGCGCACCTGTATGAGAAAGTGAACTGATTTGCCGGACGGATTCTGCAAACTGTTGTACCCCTCTAGACGTAAAGACAGATTGCAGGGTGTCACTCTCGTTTTTCTCTCGTCATCCGCAATAATTGACTAGGGTGGCGACAGCGATATTTCTATCCTCCTAAGCGTTGTTCTCGGGCAGAACACTGATTCCTTTCGAAAAACGTGCTTATGAGACAAACACCAAACTATTTGGTGTTTCTAGAAATTTTCATGACAGGACGTCCCTATGGATTGCCTGAAGTATCTGTCTACCGCACACGCACCCGGATGGAACAATCCATACAGTTCTCGTTCTTTGCACTAATAGGTTACAAACGCGATTTGGTAAGAGCCCCATACAACCGAACGAGACGCATTCATAGTCCGGAGCAGCACATACGCGATGAACTGATATCCAATGATTAGCCTGAGGACTTCATTGTCGCCCATAGTAGACATGTGACCGATAGGTTGAAGATGGAAAAATCCTTCTTCGAATGTGATCACCTAGTTAGCGCTATTCGACACAGACTGACTTCATTGTGCCTATAGTAGACATGTGACCGATAGGTTGAAGATGGAAAAATCCTTCTCCTTCGAATATGATCACCTAGTTAGCGCTATTCGACACAGACTGTTGTCAGCCGCACAACTCCGCAGGGCCTCAGGGTATATCCAACTGACTGACACATCGCGTGTTAGTCCCAAGAGATCAGTGTCGTTCACCACTTACCATGTAGCTGCGGTGACACACAGGTAAGACAGACAGGAGCCTAGTTGGGCACACTTTTGTGCATCTGTCCAACTGGTTCATCGCAAACATGGGCAAAACTCTGTGACAGATAAAGCTGAACGCACACAGTCCTGCGTTTTCAATATTTCAATATATCTCAAATATAGACCATTCAAGTGGCCCTATAACCTTCTTCATATTATGCGATGGAAGCATCGATTCCAGTGTGCTTGGCTTCTGTAAAGTAACGCTAATTACTGTCCGCTGATCAGAGTCATTCAACCCACGTGCAAATTTTGAAATTGATTCAGATCCAAGGTTTTTTTTAACTCACCGAAACATATCGTATGATACTTGTATGTATTTACCTGGGGTAACATGCTTCTCCGGAGTCTGCTGAAAGCACTCTGACGGCCCACGTTTTCGCCAATCTTCGGGCCAATCAAGCAGGCGCAGTCATTGAGTTTCCTTCTGCCCGACTAGATAAATATGAATTACCGATGTCCTACAATCTCTCTTACCGCCCTGGTTAACCAGATACGATATTTCAACATACACCGTGGGTTCGCACGCTTGTTTGTGAATTGTTTTGTCTGTTGAGCACGGTTCTTGTTCAGTGCAATTACCGACGCACGTCAGTTGGAGCACCAATAAATCCTCCCCCATTTTCTCGAATTACTTTAAAAATTTAGTGTTTCTCTGTTGATGCATTAGGGGAGGTAGTTGTTTTTGTCCCTTTCAGACAACTATGACGCATTCCAGTCGGAAATCTGGTCATACCACATTCGTTCTCTTATTTAGTGGAAAGTATTGAAACACCTGTATTTGTTTTACAACTATCCATAACCATTTCCAATGCCTGATCTTTTGCATCTCCGTTTCAAAAGCCAAGTGCGGTCCGAAACAGAATCGTCGCACATTTCAACTGCTTTTAACCTTGTTGCAACCGCTATTACCTACGTTGTCCAAAGCATGGTTTGCTGCCTTGCAAGATTACGCGCTACTGAATCTGCCTGATGAACTGGCTGCACAACGCCCCTCAAACGGCGGTGCGTTTTTCGGTCCAGATGCCAACGTCGAACGGATTCGTCTTCACTATCTGCAACATTGGTCGACATTTGTGTCAGCCGTTTCCATATGGACCCAAAACGAATCACAACGCATGTCAGATCTAATATATTCGGATACGGACTGTCAAAAGCGGAGGAAAGACAACTTTGATCTTCTTTTGGGTACGTGTCATATTAGACACCCACGAGTGAATTCTGCATGTTTATTTCTGCACCCTTGTATGTGGAACGAACAAAGTGCATGCGATTTAAACAACGTTGATGGAACTTCTCACCTTTACCGCTTGTATTTCATTGACCAAAAACTTGTAATGAAGAACAACGTATACAGGAATACCTTTCTCTCTTACATCATGCGTCAAGCGAGCGAAAGTTAGATCACAGTACTACCCACATGAACGAATGTAGGAACCCCCACATTGGCTGTCCTCCATCCAAAGACTGCGTGGAACAGTGCACTGATATCTTTTTTGGTGTTCTCTATTTCGAGACAGCGCCCAAGGCATGTCACTAGCAATTTTAGTAGCAGAGTAAAATATAAAATGCAAGATGTTCGATCAGTTTGAGGTAGTTCTGATGTTGAACAATGATGTCTGCGATTCAAATCCGCCCCTGGTTCCTCGATGGCTCTTACTAGGTCGGCTTACTGAAATCTTGATTCACCAGGTTCACACAGCCGAGCACTGAAAATTCACCACAATTCGAAAGAGCGGAACATAGAATTGCATTTGTGTTGCCATTTCGTTTTTTACTAGTTAAGTAGAACCCACATTACTTGAGTTAGTTAGCCACTTTTATATATACTCTTCGTCCTATTTATTTGTTTCTCTTTTTCCGACAGGCCTCTGTGTCCAATCACTATGTGATCCGATTCTAAAGCAATCTGTGCGTCTCATGAACACCTGCCTACAATCTCTCCGCCATCTTCTCTCCCGTCCGGAGCCCCGGATGTTCCTAATCCGTAACTACCCCGATACTCCACTGGAACTGCTTCATGTGCTCTATCGGTCAGTGATTTTTTCATATTTCCTTCAGGTTCTGCTATTCCAGTGCATGCTCTTAACCTTTAATCATCCACTTGATTCCGCCATTCTTTCTCAGCTTATCCTTGGTATTTGTTTATTTTGACCTTCCCAATTTTTGGGCTGATTTCCTACACCTAATGATCCCATACCCGTCGACGGCAACTGCTCTAGAAATCTTGGTTTATTTGCATACCACATGTTACCTTTTTTCCAGAGTTGTTTTTATTCATGTAGTCCAGGTCAAATTACACTAAAGAATGGAAACGTATGGCGCAGGGCGTGTGCCTATGAAAACCACTTCCTCGCGGGTTTCAGTTTCCACGGTATAAGTTACTTAATTAATGCCAGCTTGAGGCACTTTGTTACGAATAAGTGTCCCTTGATTACTTAGTTGTTGTTCATAGTTATTTACTGGACCTCCGATTGATAATAATCGGTAGGCAAAGCATGGAGCCCATAAATTAGGAAGGATCGTGCCCGTTCGCCCTATTCATGCGATTGCTGTCCAAGGTGCATGTATCTGTCAGCAAGGAATCCGAAGCATGGCTTCCCTATTGGCAGTGTGCACTGCCAACAGCAGTGAACGCATGTATCTGTTAGGGTCGCAAACGGCCAGAAGTGCTTAAGCTACGCAACTGTCATCGTTCGCCGGCAGTGAAAGGCAATTACGCCGTAAGTTGTCTTGATATCATAGCTATCCGATTTCTCCAATTATATTCCTGGTTTTCTCCCTTCACTTTAGTCAAGTTAACTCTATCAGAAGAAGACGGTCAGCAAGAAATCCGAAGCATGGCTTCCCTGTTGGCAGTGTGCACTGCCAACAGCAGTGAAGACCAGTGAACCAGTGAAGACTAGACCGCATTATCTCTGACCACGCTGGGTTATTTTGGCACTTCTAACTTTTGGTGTAACTCTCCATTGGTTCAATTACGCATTCCTCTCAAGCAGTGTCACTTTCTTCCTCTTAACTAGCCTGGTGCTTACTCGCGACAATGTGGAAACGCACTTGCTCTCCCTCAATTTGGTCAGTCATGTACTGATTGCTGCACAGGAGCGACTAGTCAAACAACGAGAGGCTTGGCTTTCTGAAGGTGAGTGGATCTTCTACGAACACGATAACACGGTTGAGTCCCTACAAAATTTACTGGAACACTAGGATCTGCAGTCATTGTGTTGTTTTCAGAAACGACTTGCTGATTGACACATTGCAACGTCCAGAAGCTATGTTATTTCCAGTCATTCCTTTAATGTATGGCTTCCCATTCGTTTCTTTCTTCTTCTCTCAGCTTACTGCAGATGAAGCAGGCTGATTGACACATTCCAACGTCCAGAAGCTATGTTATTTTCAGTCATTCCTTTAATGTATGGCTTCCCGTTCGTTTCTTTCTTCTCTCAGCTTACTGCAGATGAAGCATGTTTGTATTTTCGCCTTGCGGTTTCTGGTTCTAAGGTCTGCCACTCGATGAAGCATTCTGCAGTTTCCAGCCTATCTCAGCGGCTTTAAAAATTTGCTACTGGAAATATTGTTAGTAGGCGGAATATTAAGTAGAGTATTCTCTTTGCGTCCTCCTTCCAGATGCGTCCGCCAATCGACCAAAGGTTTTCTTGACGCCTGAGACCAACAAGGCTCCAGCTGGTGGTAATATGAATTCAAGTGTGTTTCTTCAAACAACTAGCCTTGTCGACCTCGAGATGTATGAGCTAAGTGAAGGTGGAACTCTTGAAAGCTATGTTAGTGAAGCTGACCGGAAACCGAGAGGGGAAAAGGATGTGGAAAAGAATCCAGATGTCAAACTGCCCACTGTTGGACTGCAGGCCAACCGCTCGATTGTGCTTGCCTGTTTGGAGATAGTGACATGCACCCTGGCCAGATACCGCCCGGAAATCTTAGCGCAAATTCCAGATTTGGAGAACATAGCATCTACCAATGGTGAGCCCGTTGACGCCCAGTTACTGTCTTACTTTGGTGAACCCAAATAAGTACGATCGAATCGGTAATAATTACTGCTGTTTTCTTTTGGAGATACGTACTTTCCTTCTAACTCTACCGTTATCCAGCTTCAGAAGATTACCGTGATCATTATCGTTCGGCTTCTCCCACCGACCATTGTTTCAGCTAGATCGGTTGTAGAAATCCAACTCTGTGTATTGTGCCTATATTGTCGGTCCCATTCATTCAGCTGTTTGCGATGTTAAGAACACTGTCGTGGCTTTATCCAACCCTTTTCTAGCTTTCCCCATTTCTATATTTCACCTCGTTGGACTCTTTGACCATGACCGAATACGAAGTGACAGAATGTGTTGGTGAAATCAATAACATGCTCAAATACATCCACCATATGACTCTTTTACTTGATTAGCTCCGCCTTGTCACGGTAAATTTCTCATAACTTATTTGTGCCAACAGGTCAGATGTTGGGTAGATCGGACACCGTTATAAGCTTTATTGGAAGTCGGGAATAACTCGCGGAAAATGATACATTGCGTAGGGTGCACATTTATTTCATGGCCCTGTATGTAGTTGCCTCATGCTTCGTTATTCAGTTTACCTGATGATGTCGAAAACTAATCTATCGATTTCCCGCTCAATCTGTCTATTCTTTCTATAAGTATTGTATTGATACACGCGTTGAATATCTAACTAACCTGCTGTACCCCATGCTGCTGTGACAATTGTGTGTTCTTCCCTTCAGTATTCATTGAATAAGACCTTGAGTGGAGCATTAAGAAGCTCCAGTTTCCAGTAACGGAAGTGATGAAAAATTGGAGGTTGATCAAAATCGTCTAATTGCGTCTTCTGCCCCAGTTTGCGCATGGCTTTTATTGAAAGTAGCATTCGCCCAGCCTGCTCGGTTAATTGCAGCGCAGTGTTTCTCCCATTTCTGCAGCCCCGTTCACCCACTTCAGTGTTGTACAACTAAAGTGCTTCAGACTAGCGGAGAAACTGATCAATTGCGGAAGCTTTAGTCTGGAAACTGTGGCCTCCATCCTGTCCATCGAAACCTTGAAATTCTTCGTGTATGTGATCACCATTCAAAGGAACCATCCACCTAAGAGATCGAAGTTCTATACTCGACTATGCCTATACAGCACATCAGCGCACGTCGAATGGCGATGTAGGTCGATTCCAGGTATCGGTCTGCATCTGTGATGCGAGTATCTGACATCCGTAGTTATTGGGGACACTGAATACACTAATATAATCTCGATACACTTTCCTCGTGTATATGGCATATCTTGGGCCGCGTTCACCGTGAGCGGCCTGTGTTCTTCTCAATTCTCACAGATCGGACTCACACAGTGCCAGAAACCCGATGCGCGAGTAGCCCGAACGCCCCATACGTTCTTGCTGCTGCAGTTCAGTGTCTCATTCCAATGTCTGATCTCTGTGCTCCTCGAGTTCTTCTGTCCGAATTTAATACTGTTGGTCAACCGGTCGTTAAGGAGGACAATGCAGATGGCGCCCCCACAAACAATTGCACGGATAATTTACTCCAGGTGCTACTAGAGTTGCTTGTCCGGACCTCTCGGGTAAGTCACTATCTATTGTGTATATTCGGTAAAACTATCACGTTACACAATTGTGAACAGCTGTTGAGTCCCCATGTCCCTTGAAGTGATTGTTGAGTTGCATCAACTGGAGTTTTATTGTCTAATTTTTTGAGGCATATATGTCCAGATTCAAGGTGAATGTGTGATGGGACGAAGAAAATGCCCATCCACACACACAGATACACTTTTATCTTTAATGAGACTCTTCGAGTGAGGGTAGGGGAATCAGACCCGTGAATTTATGATTACCATCCATCCGCTGGTCAGTCTGCATGGCCGGTGGGTTTGATTTTTGGTTCAAACGGCTGCCTGATTACTTCAGACCATCTGAATACTGGTAGCTGGTCGAAAAAGTCTCATATGCTAAGTAATCAATCCGCTCCAAAGACCCGACAAATATCACGCTTTATCTTTTGCTCTTCGATAACCTAATGTATTCGACATGGCCCTGGAAAATTTACACTTATTGTCATCCCAATATTGATACTCGGAACAAAACCTTTCTAGGTTTTGAATCTGTAAGGTGTCGGCTTGTGGGAAGCCATGAAGAGCTCCAAAGCTACCATCCGTTAGACAATTTTAGCAGTTCGGCGCTGTTCTCCCCACTACTGAGATTTGAAAGGCTGATACAGTATCTTATCATTTCGAACCGGCTGGATAAAAATGCTAATTTCGCGCAGCTCGTTGGTTCCCTCAATAACATCATTGACCTATGATTTCCCTACGCGTCGGTTTCAGACCGCTCTTCTTAAGCCGTTTGGCGGTGCACTTAGTTGGTTTGATGACCAACACAACCGACCGAAACCGATGGAAGATGCTGTGGATTTTCAAGCTATGTTTGCGAACAATGTGTTGGAACTCTTCGGTCTCAGTGACCCAGATACACAAATCACTTCTACTGCAACTTCCTCCAGAATCGCATCTGCTGTACGTCGACAGCGCTTTGACAACGACCTGGAGAAACGTCGAATGGATAGTCTAGTCGGTTGGACACCTCAGCAATCCTGCTTGGCTGATGTGCTCGCTCGGCTTGCTATCAAACTTGCGACTCACCACTACCCTACTTTAACCACTTCCCGGATATCTGCATCAGCACTAGTCAATCACAAACCAGTTGTAGATCAGATCAACGTAGCTCCATCAACCGAAGAAGCGACCAATGGGAACCAGCCGGACAGCAGTAGTACTGTTGATTATACTGGAGTACAGCCAGGCTTGAGCGGGACGGCGTTGCCATGTGGGAATTCCTTTAATGATTGGCACAATAACCCGATCAACCAAGCTGCATCGTCCGTCTGGTACGACTCAATCTCCAGCGCCCTACTTGATCTGTTACATCATGATCATCCGAAGGTTGACGAAGTAAGTTGTTATATCTCAAATTTTTCCATTCATCAACTTGATAATTTATGATATGGTGTATAATTTGCCCTTCTCTTGGTACCGGTTAGTCTTTGTGGAACCCGTCTTAATTTCTTTGAAGGCATCGTTAACAAGTGAATAGTGCGACTAATAGGTGGTCCTATCTTTATTTTTTATCCATTAGCCGTGAAAATGTTCTAGGAACCAAGCTAGTCTACTCTGTTAACGTCGAGGTCAGATACAAGTCGAATTTCGTCAACACGTACCCGTTTATCCCTTCCTTGTGATCGCGTTATATTCCCGTTCATTTTACAAGTCGATGTGTATTCTATGGTGAGTACCACTAATGTTGATAACCCGTACGATCGCGTCAATCGGATTATTGCTGTCGTATTGTACAGCACCAAATAGACACATCACTACTCCATATACGCTTGCTCACCTACTGCTCTTCTACACAAAAGCGCGCTGACAATGTAGTGGTGAGTGGGACGATTGTCGTTAAGGTGTGTGGCTCAAAACCACAAGTGCAGATGCAAGTCCGATTTGCCATCTTTATCCATCCTTGGCAAATGTCAGTGTCACAGAGTACCCACTCCACTGAAAAATCCACCACCTGGTTTACCCTTGAGGGTTGTATAAAGCCTCTCGTGAGGTCACTTCTTCCCTTCATAATCAGTTCAGTATTTTGTCCTGTTTAGTAGTTTTCTTCCAAAAGAATGGCCACGAACCTTCTTACTTATCAAAAATGCAAGTTGGTACTAGTGCGAGCTCTTCTGTCGCTGTCCAACTACACCACACAGTGTACCTTTCTGGAACATCCCGCTCACATTTACAATAACCAAAGGCGTAGGACTATGGTAATCAACATGTTACCATAGTTGCGCTTCATTTCATACTTGTCTCAATCCTCACTCTTCTGTTTGGTCCCCGCGTCTGGATTGAATATGAGTGTCAATCACTTACCTCAGGCCAAATCCCATAAACTATTTCGGCATGCGATGACACAGATTTCCCATGTTACACCTAGTATGGTATTGTTTTTGGGCTAGTTTACGTGAAAAAGATACTGCTTGGTAGTAATAATGCGAGGAATTGCATTTTCGACAAGATGTTTCCTTTTAGGTAGACGACTAATGCACCAGTTAAAGGGGAAATATGCGCACTGTCGACTCCTTCAACATTCGGTTCATTCGAAATGTGTCGAATTTTGTTGTTTTGACCAGAATAAATGCCAAAATTTAGGGTGTCATTACAGATGCAACTAATACATTTAATCAACGCGATGGCCTCTTATTGATGGTTAGGTACTGTCACCCAGGTAGTTACGGACCGGTGACGCATGCGCTAAATAGTCATACTAAGATAAGAACACTGAAAAAACAACTGCATGGCGAAACACAAACTATCGAGATCTCAATCCTCCTATTCTCTCTAGATTATTGCAATCGCGTTGCATGTCCTGAACCGTGACAGTGCCAGACTAGCTACGGATCCCAATCAAATCAAGAACTCAGTAGCAGTGCTAGTTGGGGCGAGATGGCTCAAGTGAATAGAGCGCGAATTTACTGACCGGGGGGTCCGTGGTTCGAACCCGACTTGTGCCTCTCAACTACCTCTGTCTAGGCTTGGGCAACCTGACAGTATCCCAGCCCTCGTGCTTCCTTCGGGTAGCATGGCATCTAGGCACCGGAAGGGTGTTTCTTACAGCTGAACGATTTTTTCGATTTTTCTAGTTGAATGAAACGTTATCCATAATAGTCTACCGGTAATTCTAGGGTCTGTATTTTGTTTTAGAGTGGTTCGGTTAACGGAGCCCGTTCTCTGTCCCTCGTTCCATCGTGCCCCACTACGTTGTACGCTAGAAAACTTCGTGAAACTATGAATGGGTCTTTGAAGAGATCCTTTAGTGAAACGCGTCTGGGCAACATCTATCGACTAACACCAACTAGGTCGTAGAGTATTCCTATCCCATCGACACACCTTTCCACTAGGAGGGACCAGTTTTTCTGTTTCCCCACTTCAAATTAGCACAAGAAGATTTTCTAAGTTTCCTGTACAGGCCCCGTCTTCTTTTGAGAAACAAGTGTTTGATGAAAGTGTTTATCTGCTGGATCTTTACTGCTTTCAGAATAACTGTTCACCGTGCGTTTGTTTTGTGACCTAAAAGTTTATCTTTTCCACGTAGCCGCATTCATGGACTTGTTGCCTGGGTGCAGTCACTTTGGTCACTCGTATTGCTGTCCACTGCCCCTTGAACGTGTTCAAGTCACGAGAACTCCGTGTTGCCATTACCACACAAATTTGCCGAACATGGAAACTCGCGGATTCGGGAAACACTATGGACGAAGCTATTGGTGATCTGTGTGCACCAGATGGTCACTCGGTGACCACCCAATGCCAAGGCAACCCGGATGAGCGACAATATCGCCTCATGGCTGCGTTTCGCGGGTTTCGAAAGAGACGCATTTGTTTGGCTGCCATTGAACTGCTTATCAATCACCAGGAAAAAGCTGTGAATATGTTCTTCGTTAGAACACTTGTACCCCAGGTATGAAATATTGCTTCTAAGGATAACCAACGTCGAATTTGGCACAATTTGCAGCTCACATGACCCAGTCACTCCCATTTGTGGCTGGAATAGAAATGATTAGTTCTCTACTAGTCAATATGTTCCTCTTTGACTATGCACTGGTAACCGCAGGCTGTGTTCAGTGCACTGTTGTATAGCCCTTGTTGGCGGATCTTAAGATGCGAACCCGAGGATCTTGATGAATTCTTTTGATTTTTACAACCTCTTTTTCTAAGCACCAGTTCTGCTTGAGCGTTTCCGTGTCCAAAAAAAGCTCATGAGTACCTATATTTCCGACCGCTGAACATGGGTCAGTGGCCTATGGTGTGTGTGCAGTATTCAAGAATTATGAGTCGTGGTGCAAGGTTAGCATGCCTGGTGCCGATTGGTGCTGCTTTTCATTAATATTTTGGGGCATATCGGTATCGCCCTAAAACATCAAGTTACGATCCGAAGGAAATGAGTAAGCTCGGTGACCAGACGCTGTTTTGTAAGAACACTCATATTTCATTTGGTTCAGACACAATAACTCCCCATGTGGTTTGCTATTCCAACAGAAATCCCTGCGTGACTGAGTTCACGGTCGTATTAGACTAGGTTAACTCTGAGTTCGTAGCCCATGTCAATTGTCACAGAAGGGGAAATCCTACTGCCGCCAAGAAACAGGTTACGAAGCTTGTGCAGTGGGTTCCCCTCTTTAAATGTTTGTAGAACAAGAAGCCTTCATTTTTGAGAACGCTCACTAACTGTATCCTTTTGATCAATAAACTTGTTTTTTGCTCATTCTTTCAGATATTCCGGTGGCTTTCTGATCTGTCGCTCGTGCACATGCTACCTGCTCCAACGACGATCAATGAACAACGCATTACTAAAGATGAACTGTCGAATTCCCTGAATACGGCTATGGATATTCTCGAGTCGCTGATTGACATAACCACAACCGAGAACCGCCAAGGTCTTCTGCTCATCATTGTGCCACTACTCTGCAGTTTGTTGTCTCAGTCTTTGCCAACCACTGGACTTACTGCTCGTTGGCTTGCAACCGACACGGTTACACTCAATTCATCTGAACTGAAATGTGGTCTACATTTGCTTGCGTTAAAGCATCTGATTTCCATGGCTCCTCGATTTCCTCTGGAATTTCGTTCCGTGTTGGGAGCACTGGGCGAGCTAAAACCTAGACTTGAAGCTGCTATCAAACACTCAGCATCTCCGATGACTGCCGCTCAAGTTTCATCGGGGAAGCCCTCGCATCTAGCAGACCAGTGTGTGTTGCGAACAGGTGATCGTCCCGTCATTCAGCTGAAAACAGATTTTAGTAACTTCGGTTAAGACTGATGCAACACGCATGAACTCTATTCAATTGACAGTGATTGTCATTTCTGGACAATTCTCACTCAATCCGTAGCATAATGTGATCCATCTGACCTCGGTTTCGAATCCCTCACGCTATCTTGCCCCCACACTCATATCACCCGATTTCTTGCTTCTCTACCTTAAACTCCCCTTTAAAAAAGTACGATAGGCACAATGAGCGCACCTTTCTTTAATGCTATACAAGGAATCGACCTAATACTTTTATTTGCGTTCTTCTTTGCTTGCCACATTTTGTCTTTCTTTGGATCTCTCGATCACTACCTACCTGTTGTCTAAAGTGTAAATTTTGCATGAGTCTCCTGTCCGTATCTCCAATTCAATCGAGCACAGAGAGGTCCCTTTGCTTTTAATTGACTGCCCCGCTTTATTATCTGAGTTCTATCCATTAAGTTACCGTCTATATTTTTTGACAGTGTCATATTTAGGTTGGTCTTTGTTTGGCATCCGCTGTCTACTTTTGTTGTCCTACAAACAAGTGATTAGCACCACGTTTATCGCCGATTCGGACATGTGATTCCTGTCATCTTGCTCTGCCCAAGAGCGCCATCGTGTAATTTATATGTTCTGAAATATTACTTCTTTGTCTGTATGATTGAGGCCCGCAACTCGGCTGGTTCATCGAAAGCGCCTTCTGGCGTTTCGAATTTAGTTACAGGATGGAAGTTTATTATTGGCGAAGATGTGGGATAATCGCTGTCCTTGGTGAATGCGTTGTGATTGTAAGCTTTTCAGTACTGATGACGGTTGTCACCAAAAGATGTATCTGAAGCAATTGCTCCAAATTCACTGTGGTCACTTATGTTCTATGAACGTCCTAGATTATTTGGTTTGTTCAGAGATTCGGAACGCGGGTGTTTATAATTCAGAGCGACACGCTTACTTCTGCCACCCTCAATACTATCAATTATGATACAAAACCGTCACAGTATGTGCATACAGATCGTCTGCATCTTGTGTTTTGATGGGATTGTGCTACTGTGTGCACTTGACAGCTGCAATCAACGCGGTATCGAATTCAGTTAAACGCAACTAGAAAGGTGAGTTCAGAAAAGATACTGAAACTCAGTGGGATCAGAGGCTGTTATGGTCCTTGACAGCCGGGTATTCTAAGGGCTCAGACCAAGCCAACAGCCTCGCCAAAGGTAGCGCTTCCGCAGGTAAAGTGTTCAGTCCATTCGTCCGTGCTGTTCAACTCCTATGTGGCAAATGAACTGTTTTGACCACTAAGGTGAAGCGGCGATAGAAACAGCAATTCCCTGCACAATAAAGGTGGACCTCGGTGTTAATCAAAACCTTGATGATAAACGTACACATGCAGACCGATTTCACTCAAACGCCGTGTCAACCTATTAATGTGACGGACTGATTTTTAATGATACTGTGAGATTCGACCGTGGAAATAAAGCAGTAGCCAGTATTTTTAGAATACCCTAGACGCTCGCATCAACAGCACTGCACTCAGTCATTTGTACCAAAATGAATGAAAAAAGCCGCATACATAATTATACAGCGTAAATTCTCAGTTCGTGAGATGATTGACCCCTCTTCTATCAACACCTTTGCGAGGTAGATCACCGGCGTCCTCGATGATGGCCTTAACGGGGCGGACAGTCACATGTTCTAGGAGTATACAAGCGTGTCCGATTGCGTATTTTCGACATACGCATGTAATAACTGTTATTCGCGCATATTCTGATAGTTTCGTTCTGAAAAACGTATTAGATTCAGCGATCTCGTTGCATTTAGACGTCAGGATGGGTGTCATTATTCCGTCGCAAAACACCGGGGACTGCACCGTCAATTTGATTATGTAATGGCACTGAGACAGCTTAGTGATTACAAACCAACGCATCTGTCTCTTGCAAACAAGCGTTCTATCGAGAACCTTACATCGCACAAGTGTACTTGAGTTCCACATCAAGTCGCCGCAAATGTTTCTAGTGGATTAACGGTTTTGCATCAGTGCCACTAGTAAGTACGTCGTGTGAATTCCAAGTAAACCGAAGGGTATTAAAGGAATCGATGTGGGAGAGTCGAGTAATCGGTAAATGTACCTGGATCCCTATTCACGACCATCCAGATCCCTATCTCTTCTAAATTCCGAAATATAATTAACTTGGAAGTTTTCATAAAGGAATCTACTCACAAGGTTGCTGAAAACTCTTCGACAGCCCACAACCGGTTTCGCCCTTCTTGGGGCTCATCAGGTAGGCGCAGTCCCCGAGTACTCGTCAACCTTATGTTCTACTTGAACCCAAATTGGACTTTTTTCGAGAAATACACTAATTTGCAACTCAATTTGTTTTTCACGAGAGACAACTAAATCTCTCGTTTATGGGATTCTACAACTGAATGTGCTGCACACAGGCTGCCTCATGATTCAGTTGGCACGATATTCGAGATATCGCAGTGTATTTCCATAAAGGTTCAAGTAGAACATAAGGTTGACGGAAACTCGGGGAGTGCACCTACCTGATGAGCCCCAACAAGGGTGAAACCGGTCGTGGGCTGTCGAAGAGTTTTCAGCAACCTTGTGAGTAGTTTCCTTTATGAAAATATACTGCGATGTCTCGAATATCTTGCCAACTGAATCATGAGGCGGCCTGTGTGCATCACATTCAGTTGTAGAATATCAAACAAGAGATTCAGTTGAGTCTCTCGTGAAAGCCAAATTGATTAGCAAATTAGTGTGTTTCTCGATAACTAGGAAATTATATGTTCGCATCTCACACGGATACACTCTATCCCAACTGTGACCGAATGAAGCCAATCGGGACTAAAAGACTGAGAATCATCGGAAGGTAAGGTTTGTCATCAACTGCATACGTAGCACCAACGACTCGCTGTTCAAGGTAGGACCAAGTCACACAAGAAATAATGAAGATTACGAACACCATTATTGTGTAACAGAAAAATTGAGCCAAATAGAGTATCGTAGTCAGTGCTAAGATGGAAAGGATACATAGAAAGACCGAAAAAGAAAGCTTAGGATTTATATCACGGAAAGCAGCATGGACGGAGGAAGAGAAGACAACCACTACAAACGCGCATAATTTTGATCGGGACCAGGTGTTAGCAACCAGTTGGTGTGGACGAGTTCGACTGCTGAGAATAAGTTATAAAGCGAGGAGGTAAACTTTAAATAATCTGGATCAGAGAAAGACCGCGCCGTAGATGGAAGCCATTGAGCAAAATATATAAATGCAGCCATTTAAAAAAACACTCGGTAAAACCGAGAAGGAACGGTTCTGCTGAGTGGTTGCTCACTTCGGAAGGAGCAGTATTTCGGGCAATATGGATAGACAGAGGAAACTTGGGATAGATAGTCTTCCTAGGCATCTCACAGCAGGTCTGTGTACTAAGAGGATCTGTAAGGTGAAATGCATGGGTACCATAGGGTAATTGTTTTCACAAAGCATCGCGAAACTGCGCGCGACTCATCAATTTTCGAAAGCTTAGGTTGAAAGAAAGCAGGGATCGAAGGTGTGCGCTTTGATTATGCATTTAGAGGACAGTTGAGCATATACTGTGGGTTAGGATAGTGCGTTTCGCCAGAACAACAGATGATCTGGCATTCAAAACTGTCCCATCACATTTCCACCAAACGTGTGGCGAGGTGGCTGTAGGAAGCGGCCATATGTTGGTCGTCGCCTTCTGAATGCGAATCCTGATAAACGAGGCGCAATGAACGAAGACGTCGTCGTGGCGGGTATGGTGCGAATCCCGGGTCTTAGGTGCGAGGGACCATGTTGGGGCAAGTGGCCGTCGAACTGGCACGGTTGTGGACCAACGTAGAGGTACGGGCCGCAGTAACAGAAACTAGGCCGCTGTGATCCGTTCGCATCGTGACAGAATCCTGGCTGGTGTACGGATCCGGAAAGCTAGGAGGGCAAAACGTTTTCCTGTTCAAATGTTCATAACGGTGAATGGAATCAAATAAAAACCACTAATCATTATTTTTCTTTGCTCCCGACTGTCACGATTCTTTTCAGTCTGTGTTAGTCTTGTACACACTTAAATTCGCCTGATTAGATTCCGTTACCATGAGAAAATACCGGCACCCCTTGTCATCGTTGTAAATTTGGTTACATGAACAAACAAACCATTGAAAATGACATCCCCAGACGGTTTGGATGATATGAAAGGTGATTTCCTTGTTCTTATGGATATGAAATTTCGGAAGTAACCGAAGGAACATGAAGCTCAACACACTAGAGAAAAGGAAGTTAGTTATGTGGTGAGGGATCACAACAGAAACGACAATGAACACAACGGATTACAAACCGTCTCTCGGTCATGACATGTACAACGCGCAAGGTACGAGTCGGCGACAGAATTCTCCGTACTTACTAGTCGCGGAAGGCCTCGTGAACAACCGCTGAGAGAAGATAGGCACGGTAAAAAGTAGCATTCAAGTCTACACGGAGTTTTATAGGACGATGACAGTGACTCACATGCAAATTCTCATACAAAAAAAGGACACATTGCGAAATGTTAAGCTTTCGGGACGTACCACTCATAAGGGTATTGTAAACCTCGACGGCCCACGACAAGTTTCACCTTACTTGGGGCTCATTGGGTAAGCGCAGTTGCGTCTGCATCATACTCTGACTGAATCCAAATTGTGCACAATTCGTTAACTAAACGAATCGGGCTTTAACGGAAAACTCAAATGGAGGCTACTGAAACTCTCGTTTGTAACGTTTTTCATAATAAACCTTGTCTGACTCCGATCAAAAAACGAGAAAACTGTGCGACGGCATATGATAGCTAATCACATAGAGCTTATACCAGGCAGACTGGTAGAGCAACGTGCCCACAGCGGTTCCAAGCCACCTGTTCCGCGCACACCTTTCAGCCATTTTCCCGCTCGAAATCGCGAATCAAGCACTCTATTTCAGTAACACGTGTTCGCATTTTTGCTCCAGAATCAGTGAGATGCATGCTTCATGACTCAAGTACAAAGTGACACGAACCAAGCCAGTCTATATTCCAGAAACCTGTGTCCCCTGTGAGACTGGAAATCACCCCACTCCTGATTTAGACACTGGCCTGCAATCTGTAAAAAGGAAACCTCATCTGGAAGGATCAGACCAGTACTCATTGGGAAATTTCGTATTTATGCCATTGGACGCACAGGTCACAGAACTCACTCACGATCACCATTTTATGTCTGTCATACTGAAACGCAAGGTATGAGCATGGGCACGCCAGCTAAACTTTGCACAGATCGCAAATACACACACTATGAGAACACCGTGGTCTTTTTTGACCCCACTATGTTCAATATTCAAATAAAGCCCTATAGGCCATTGCCTTCACGTTTCTACCTTGAAGTGACAGTGTCAGACAAAACTAGTCACCTACAACAGTGATTGCCTGCCAATTCAATTCGATGGTTCCCGGAGGTGTCTGGCCTTAAGGACTATCCAAATGTGGATCGACCTAAGGACTCGTGCCAATATGGGAGAATTGTATCCTACTTCATTTCTCCCCTAAATTGGTCCCCAAAAGCAGAATGTCAATTCAAACGACTCGGAATACATAAACTGCCACACAAATCAGGGTTAAGTTCTCTGCCATTAACCTCCTCAATGAAGGAACATAATGCGCGATAGGCAACTTGGCAACACTTCGTAAACGCTTTCACTGGACAATTCCATGATGGTGTCGCTCCAAACAACAAACAGATACTTTCACATCCACAATTCACCACACCGCACACAAAAGCCAAGTAACCACTGTCGGATTGTTCAACGCTATAAATAGTTCTTTTTGGACTCAAGAACAAAATGAAAATTCCGCAAACGAGCGGGTTAAACGTGATACTCATCATTCTTCATGTCTTCGGTCTCCCAAGAAGGATTTATAGCGAAGTCACTGTCCCCCTACTGATACCCAACAAGTTAGTGGATATCTCAACTCACCACGTTGTTCTAACCACTGGGTACAGTGCGACGAGACAACACCATTTGCAAACAGGTGCATTGTTGCAATTAGAAACAATCCAGCGTTCAGGTGACTGATGCTCGGTGATTACGCCTACCTGTTGAGCCCCAAGAAGGTTGAAACAAGTAGTGGGCCGCCGAAGAGTTTTCATCAACCCCACAAGTAGTGTTATATCACGGATTTTCCCCTCCAGTTAACCGGCGACATTCACAAGAAATGTTAGGGAGCATCTTGTATTGCACGGTTACCACTCTTATGCAACAATCCTAGCATAATATTCTTGGTAGGGTTAAATCGTATTTCGACCGCAATGGATATTTCGCCAGCGGTCACAGACAGCCGATGGGCAATCGGGGCGTGCGGTGTTTAGGACTAATCTTTTCCAACCGGAGAAAGCAACATCACACCTTTCGAGAGTATGCGAACGCTGGTCATCTGGACGAAAAACCTAACTACCTTCACACTCCTATCCCACAGGATAGTACGACTTTATCCCCAGACACTTTGATGTTGCTATTCAGTAACCGGGGCCTAGCACGGCTCCTATTTGGCGGTCCTCTCACGGTTAAAACTTGTGGACCGATGTTCCAGGCAGTGAGCTCGCAGTAACACGGCAACCACCATTCACAGGATGCAGCGGACCATTATAAGGAAGGGACGAGACCTGGTACTACTTTACCAGGAGCAGTCGCGGTACCCATCGTTTGAGTAATAACTTGGGACACAACCCAAGCAGTAAAGAGAAAACTGTCTTATCCACCAGACGGCTTGTCCAATGAAGCATAATCTTCCGGAAATGCGGTACACTTTGGAAGTGAACTGATTCGGACTGCACATCTTGACGACAGGTGCTGCGTATGATATTGATTGGGGGACGTCAAATCGTGCAAAACGTATACTTCACTAGTCAACAGGTTCCTTTACACCATGAGGCTGAATCATCAACAGGAGCGAGTTTGTGGGTGGTGAAATCGAATCGGGGGAATGGGACCTCCCAATCATCATAAACTTGTTCCAGTTGGGGCTCTCTCTTACTCTCTTACCTCAGAGAAGCCGACTACATGTTAGTCGAAGAAGACTGACCACCGGAGACAAAGCTTGGTGTTTCGAATCCCCGGTGAGACTAAATACTTACCATTTTTCACCACAGGGTTTTATACTGCGAATTTTGTGCTTTAGGCGAGTGTTATTCAGGAAGTTCATCAAAATGGAGTAAATCACTCCATTCACTCTAAACTGCTTCTATCGAATCAGCTTTGTTTATGAGTCATCCAGAGATAAGCGGAAACATGCAACCGCGACACGAAGACCCACAAATTCTGAGTACTAATGCAAAGACAAAATGTCGAAAGGGAATACAGGAGTTGGTATGCGCAATTACAGACCGAATGAATTTCATCATCCCCGAGGACCGCCTCCCTGTCTGGTATTACAAACTGGACTACCATCGTGATGGAATCAGAAGAACAAATAGCCCCAACTATCAACATTCAAAAGGGGAAATAGAAACTCCTAATCATTGAATGGTAGCTGATGCGAGGTGCAGAAAACTGGTCTAGGTAACAACACCAAGAAAGACCACTTGGTTTTATTTGGTTTGATGTTAAACGTATACTTACCTAACCCCAACGTCCGTGGGCACCTGAGCTTTGGATCTACGCTGGCACAAGTTGCTGTGAATGAAAAATATTGGTTGGGAATACAAATGAAATGAACTAAAACAGAGACATGGTGTTAAGAGACTAACTCGGATGCGAACAATTTCAAAGCCGACGGAGAATGTCCGTAACAACAAATGTGCGGCTACTGAAAATAAGCTATCCATTATTGCGACGGAGTAAACATCTGAACATTGCGACAGAAATCAGAGAAACATTGGAAAAAAAGGAGCCACTTCTACCGATAGGGTGAATCAAATATGGATCATCAGATACAAGAGGATAGGGACTTCTCCTGAATGGGATTAGGGCGAACTTGCAATGCCTTGAAGGGTTGAAATTTATAATCAAACACGTCCGATTGAGTGGAACTCACCGAAGTCTGGTGTTCGTGGGCCCCATTGGAGGCTTGCCTTTTCTCACTCGGTTAACCGGTCCGCCAGATCCCTTCTTTTCCCGTATATAACGATACTGGTTCTGTATTAACAGTGTTGCTTGACACAGACGCTTGTAATAGGCGTACTGAAGGTAAAAAAAAGGGTAACACAGGTAACGTTTGACTGCGTCTCCAACTTCGAAGAAGCAGTGATATGGTTCTTTACAACCAACTTTTATAACAGCTTTGGCACCATACTCCAAACGTGTGGGCCACCTCTGTGAATTATCCCTGTGACCACGGATCAGCTCAGTTCAGGGATGATCTCTGTCTTAGAATAATTTCGGCTGTCCCTTCGATCATCTCTGGGTTTTTAGCTATAGGTTCTTACATGGATGTTCTTGTAGAACGGTAAAGCACCAAAATGCATCATTCGGTATGAGGCAGGTTGTATAACAATCTCATCCCTATTCCCACTCGAATTCTGACATCCTTTGACAATGACACAGCGGGCCAAAATTCGTGGAGTTGACTTTTATCACTTCAACGATCGTTCATGAAACTTATTTAACTAGCGTATTGCATTGTTAAAGTTGCATGAGGGTGAACACAACCTGACAGATCATCGGGTAGATAGGGAATTTGCGGCTGCACACGCACCCTCACTCCGTAAACCACTACTATGCACTTCTCTTAAGCCTGGTTTGTAGTCGGTAAAGATGACACGAACAGAAACCTAACGGCACTCTCACCGGGACTAGGAAGTTACTCCTGGGAAGCAGTATTCACATTGAAGTCAATACTGACCGATAGCTAATTCTTACACGTTTTCATGTATCCAGTATCCTACACAGACTCTGAACGACGTCGACTAAGAACAGTGAAAAATTCACCAGCCCAGCACGGTGAACTAGGTTTCGTAGTGTTATGACTAAAAAGCCTAACACTCCCAACAACGTCAACCCATTTATAATACAAGCAGAACAGAGTTCCTCGTGCATTTATGCAAGACTATCCTAACAAAACCAGTATTCGCTAACTCTCCTTAGTTTGTGCTAAAACTAAGGTCTCGACTAAAAACCGGTAGCAGAACATATATACCTGTTTATATCGCCGGTAATAGCTCTGAATAATGATTGCAGCTTCTATTTCTTTTTTGACGTCTTCTGAAGAAGAAAGAAGTGGAGTACTAGCTGTCCCTGACACAGTAGTTAGATTGGTGCTTTCATTCGAACAATTGTTCGATCCGGAATGAAGTTGGTGACAAACAGGCCCTTCAGAAGAAGGTGTGGTTTCAATCTCAAGTTCGAGACCCACACTCTGATCATCAGCGGAAGTAAATACAAACTGCTCCCAGCATTGAGCGGAAGCAGACGGCGCGTCGCCCCCGGTTTCTGTATACTGCTGATGGCTTATTTCCACTGGTCCTGAATGAGGGCTACTAAGTTGTGACGTAGAATGTATCCCATCCGCGGGATCTTCATGTGATATCCGTTCATTAACAGAAGACTTATTCCTTTTATATGCCCGATAACATTTCTGAATTATTTTCGCGGCTTCGTACAATCGTTTCTGTTCCTGGTCGGACAGGGTGAGGCGGCTGAAGTCGGTCTCCATGAATCTACTGGGCGCATTGAAGTGCTCAGCAATCTCAGCGGTAGACGGAGGAGGACTGCATCGATTGCTCCAAACGGAAAAATCACCGGTTCCACAGTGCTGCATGCCATCACCATGTTCCTCGTATAAGTAGCCGGCGGAGCTGGGGGAAGTGGCCAACAGGGAGTTGGATGCAGTAGTTTGCGAACGACTGAAATGAAATGAACCATGATGACGAGTTAGGAGTAGAATGAGTGTCACCTAAAAGACAGGAACGACAAAATAATACTAGAGTTATCGTTTCAGAGGAGCTTAGTAAACAATCGGTGGATTAGAGTTACACCAAACTCACCATTCGCAAGATCTTGCGTGCAGGCTGTCGATATCATCTGTATCACAAACAAATCGCCCGCTTGTTGAAGTGCCAAGAGGAGGGTGGAAGCTCAAAAGAGCCGTCTTCACCCGGTGACTTGTCTTAGAGGCACAATTCCGGAAAGTCAAACCGCGATATGCAACGTACTTCGTGGAACCAAGTGGGCCACCTGGCAATGATACCATGGATCCAGAAGCCTCACCACAATCAGTACGGATTCGCTTGACTACGGCGGGTGTAGTCCTTAATGATATTCGTTGTGTTTGCGGTAGGTCGATTAGATCTCGACATTGAGCTTGTGTGGGTCGGCAGTGTTTAGCCAAATCACCAGGTAAGGAGGGTTGAAAACAACTTGACCTCGCTGAATTTTCCGCACATACACTCATACCCAAAGCGGAATCCGAGAAATCTGGCCGCAAGGATGAAAGATCACAGGTCTCCTGTCTGTGTAAGTTAACAATGCGACTTGGCATAGCCTACAACGGGAAAGAGGTGGTTGTACAGTTTACGAAGTCCGATTTGTAGGCTAATAATAAATAAAACTACAAAAAATGCACGTAGTTTAAGATCACTCCAACTTACTTCAATGATCCGATCTGCCAAGTAGACCATTTGCTGTGAACCATCGTCTTCGACCAAATTGGTAACACTCGTATAAAGCGGCGCAATGCAAAAAGATCGAGTCCTATGACGATGAAAACAGGATTCCAACCCATCTACAACAGGCCCTGGTCGACAGTGTGTCGAGTAGACGCCGGAGACATCACGCTCATCCAAAGATATTTGACGTTGCGGGTGATGCGAATGCAGGGGAAGTCGAGGTGAACATATCGGTTTAAACGGGTTGGAAGAATGGTAAAGCATGGGAGATCCGTCTGTATTGCAGCTTTCGGTGTCCTTTTCAACCTCTGCAACTCCTGTATCGATATTACACAAATCAGCCGAATGAGTCGGATTGTCAAGTAAGAATGTAGGAAAGGCAGATTGAACCCCAGAGCTCGAGCAGAGTGGATATGATGATCCGCTGATATAATTGATTTTGGAAATATCCAGTGAAGGGACATACGAAGCGCCCCGTCTGGAAAACAATGGGACACAAGACGACTCCCCTGATGCTAAATGTTCATGGTAAGCGTGTCCCATCGTCCGACAAGAACTAGAAGTTGGAGGGAAAGCAGAGTCCCACGACTGGGAGTACTCCAGCATCTCAGTCAGGCGTCGTCTGGGTGTGGTGTCTGTGCGTTTGGTAGACGAAAACTCGATCTCTTCCAAATAATACTCCAGACTAGAGAGACCAAGAAATCGAGCCAGCTGCCACACAACAAATTCAAGAAAGGAGTTTTTTTAGCACCGAAGGACAGAGAATAATAATTTTCGGTGAAAAACACTCTTAAATTATCGAACTTCCAAAAAGGCAATGACTTTGGAAAACATCCGATTCTTATAGAAACTTCCTGTTCGACGTCCAATGTTAGATATCGAGGTTTGAATTCTGAGTGTTGAGAAAGCTATAACTATTAGTACAGTGCGCATTATCGCACATCAGGTGCAGCAAACCTACAGTGTGAGGCTCATGCATTTTGGTTGACCGAGCGAAGTGCGTTCGACAGAAGAGTCACTGCACGTAGTGAAGTTTGAGTTTCGCGTAGCTGACATGGTTTAGGAAGCAATCGCACGTAGATTCGAGCCCTTGTTGTGGGCTTCAGTGGTAACCATTATATATATTATATATACATATATATATTAGAAATAGTCAAGGGAGTAGTAGCGTGACTCTCCATACGTGCAGCTCGGTAGATTGAGCAAAACCACATACAAAGTTGCGGGTAGCAAAAACAAAACAAAAGCAGGATTTACTGAGGTCGCACATGCATTTTCATACCAAGAAAGGCGCCATCCATGTGGTCTTTGCGTCAGAACCGTCCACAAGCACTTAGAAATTTCCCTTCTTAGGTTTGAGAGACCAATTACCTGACTAACTGTCCCCCTGCTGGTCATCGTCCACACCTGTGACACCTGTGAGGTTGACCAATCAACCTCAGCCCAAGATTGATCATCAACAACTGTTCTATTGTTTCCTGCGTCTTTTTCTACATTGATTGCCACCTAGATGCTGCCAGCCCGTCCGTGGTAAATGATGGATTACAGTTCAATTAGACATCCCAACCACATTCCTTTCGTTCAGCCATAAATCCTCTTTCCCAAATGCACGTCAGTTATTGACTAATAAAGAGTAAAGGTGTAGAGTAAGTGAAAAACGTCACTCAGCAGCACCTAAACTCTTTCTCACTTCGAAGTGTCGCTTAATTAGAGGTTCGGGTTCAAACGCAACAACAAACTAAGACCTGGCCCAACGGGACCTTCAGGTTGAAAAGGTAAAGTTGTCCAGCAATGATTGCAAATCCCCTAGAAAAACTTACAATGAAACGTAGGTTTTGCGGACAGAGAGGACTGCTGAATGGATGCGGTGCCAACAATCCATGGAGATTATTGACATACACAGAGTCGCTTGTGTTTTTCTACGGGTTAGAAAAACCAACTTTTGGCACTCTCCTCCTGTTCCCGGAAAAAAACATTTCATTACACACACCAACTTAGTTTGAACACACGATTCTTAACCCAATGGCTTCTTGATGTGACTATGCACCAAACCTGACGATGGCCGGAAACATTTACATTCGCAAACTTCCGACAGCTCTGTTTTGAGAAAGACAGTTCCGCGGGTGGGTCATCAGCACTACTAATGCTGCCATTCAACAGATTGGACAAATAATGTGGTGCGTTTAGCCACGAGCTGTCACTTGTCCTGTCTTGGTTTGGATGAGTAGCACTCGGTCCATTTCGGTCTATCTAGCGAGCGGAAATGAAGTAAGATCACAGACGAGACCGTGGGCCTGAGTGTTCTTCTAAGGATGCAAAGCGCTTCTCAGTCGATGACTCCAGTTTTCAATACCGTGACATATTCAAGTTGTGAGAATTGCACATTTTTCCCTTCAAAGTGTTTCTTAGCTGGAGATTTCTTATTAGAAGGCAATAGTGCCCTTACAGTCAAAAAGTTGAATTGTTAAAACTATTTCATCGAGGATTTGCTTAAATTGAAGCTTCCTGTGAAGAGAAGCGAATCGCGCTTGAGGATCCATAAGGATATGAGTCACCATGAGTCGATAAATAATGGCCACTGAGAACATCACCAATGAGAGCAAGTAGAAAACGCTCGGCGTGGGATCCAGACATACCTGCTTTGGATGGAACGAAACAGCGCCGTTGGCTTGCTCAAATTCTAAACAGGGTTTGCTAAGAGTTTCTGGTTCCAAAATAGCCAGAAGACAGGCACACTTGATGTGCTGGTGTAGAATGGCGCAGCCAAGTGGAGATATGGAAGCAGTTTCGAATATCACTGGTTTTGAGGTCAGCAAATCTATGCGGGAATAAGGTAGGTAAAAAGAAGACTTGTTCTCACCCGATAACAGTGTGGGTCGCACAGAGCGGTGTTCGCAAAGTGGAACGGAATAACTTACTCCCTAATTGTTCTGTTGAGGACAGCATCACGGGTGACTCGATACGTGTAACTTCGCTTGTGGGCAACGGTTGATGATCTTCGAGCTCGAGAACACGCCATTGCATGAGTGTGAGGAGCAATTCAGAATATCTACAACACAGATAATTGCCAGAAATTACGATCGCACATGAAATTTCAATCCATGTAGTCACCATATATTTCATAGGCCGGAGGGGACTTCAGATATTATATGAACAAAAGTTGAACCCAGAGGAAAGGTATGTGGTTGGCAAGATTGTCGTATGTAGGGTGAGGTGGACAAACCAGTCGCAGCAAAACATTAACATACCCCAGAGCTGCCACACAAAACAGTAAGGTGACTGGCGGCAAGTCATGCGAAGTGAGGCTCTGTGCGTCGCGTTTTACCATTTGAATGGCCTGAAGCAAGTGAGGATAGTTCACCCACTGTTGCTCGCCTGATGTGTCGATATTCTCGGATGCATCTTGTGTGGCACCCGATAAAACGCCACCTTGACCTATAGCTGATCGTACATCTTGTCCGAACATCCAAATGGAGCACTGTGAGACAAGAAGCTCCTCAATCCGATCCGCATACAATGACGGATTACACGATCCATGATCCTGAAAATGCAACAAAGCTCCGCTGAACCCATAGGATCAACTAGTACCCACCCAAATAGGATAAAATAATAAAAATAATCATTCATTTGTCACAGACGTTCTTCCAGTTAACGGCTGCCACGCCACCCTCAAGAAAACGAGGGTTGATACACTGTCAGATTACCCAAGCTTAGGTAGGAGCAGTCGAAATATCGAGGTTGCGTTCGAACCACGAATCATTCGGTCAATGAGTTCGCGCCTTAGCCAGTTGTGGTTTTCATATCGCTTTAGTGATAAGTTGTGGTACACAGTGAAATTCTCAGCAAAAACTGCTGTGATCCGCAGACAGCAAATATTGAAACGTCTAGTGTGTATGGCGACAATGAAATGGTGAGTAATCAAACGAACAAAACACTGAAAACGGACGAAAACTGGTAATCTGGTAGGTCATCACTGGAAAGCGGAAGTAGTCCGGTTCACTCAAACACTGATCACGTAAGAAAGGGAAAACTACTAGACGAACAAGACGCGCAATTATGTGTGTGGAGGTGCTGTTCTAATACCAATGAAACTGTACAATACAGACTTAAAGAAATCTACTTTGTCAGGAAATCAAGACATCCGTAATAAAATGGAATCAGTGCTATACCTTAATATCACTAGATATGTCTTCGTCGGTCCGCCCAAACAAAAAAGTTGGGGAACTTGGAGTTTTCCTCGGAGAACTGGTATAAACAACCCCATCAGCATCGAAGGAGTCGGATTCTAGATCTCCTCCCTGATCGCCAGATGCAGCATCTCCGCCGTGGTTATCCAAAACAAGGATAAACTCGTCCGAAGCGGCCAATGAGGAGCGTAATGGTGCAGTAGCAGAACTAAAGCAGTGGACGAGCTCCCACTGGGCACGAGCGACTGAAATGGCAAAAAAATAAATTTGTAGTTCGGTCGAAAAGGGTAGTTCCCAACAAAAAATTGAATAGAAGGATTTTTAGGGGCGAATGGTATGTAGTGGTCCACGAAAAATAGGACACGAAACTTAGCTTGATGGACAAGACTCTGCAACAAAACTTAAATTATGAACAGGCGTTTATCAAGCCCGAATTCGAACTGCACATTAGCACCATCATTCACCTAAGCAGCAGGCTGAAGGGTGATGACAAGGTTACACCCTTCTTTCAAGCCTGTGGCTATTGCGAAACAACTGTAGATCGATCTATGGGCTCATATTTCTGCTCTCATTCTGTCATGTATGCCTTCGATACGATTCACGAATTCTGGAGAACAGACTGTACTTCTCATTTAGCAGAATCGAAAGCCTTCATAAACCCTATCGAGGAGACTATCAGCGGCTGGAAATATTCGTGGAGTTTTGTTTGAAGCTGTATTAGGTAGCGAATACACTGCGATGAGACTAGTACGGATGCCACACTGTCCTTCTCAGACATGTTTCGAGACATCAGCAGTAACGCGGTTGACTAAGACTTATGCCAGCAGCACGTACGCGTAATCTATCAAACACGCTGGACCTTGACAACAAATGCACAGGACTGCCTGTTGTGTTCATGGGTAATTAGTCTAGCTTCACCATTGTCTGCAAACGTTTCTGCTCGAAATTCATTGTTCACGTAACCAGTAACAGATGATACGTGAGTAGTAAGTTGCGATAGCTGAACCAAAAATGAAAGTAACTTTGAAGTACGGGAAACTTGGAGGGATATGTCGATTCGTTGCCCGCCAAAGTTGATTTGTCAACGTAATAGCTGAAAAAATTATAAGGATTGAACAGTAAGACAGACTGTATGAAAAGCAGGAGCAAAAATGGTTGTGGAATCCATTTTGGACAAAGTGACTGCCAACAAACAGCGACGACTGCCTTCTCAAATAAGCAGGCGAGATAGCACAGAGTATGCCTTCCAGTCGGCGCCTCAATAAGTTGACCTTACGGGCCACACGCTTTTCCCATACACAATACAGGGTCATCAGTATCCTCATGAGGCAGCAGCATCAGTGTTGGCATTGATGCTTCACTGGCGTATATTTAAGGCCTTCAAGTGAAAACAGAAAAGATGGTGGTGCGAGCGTACCAAAAGCGTTCTGAGATGTCCACAGTTCTAAACCCTCAGCATCAGTTTGGCATTGATGCTTCACTGGCGTATATTTAAGGCCTTCAAGTGAAAACAGAAAAGATGGTGGTGCGAGCGTACCAAAAGCGTTCTGAGATGTCCACAGTTCTAAACCCTCAGTCAGACAATTAGGAATAAAAATGACAGCATAAAGTTCTCAAACTGTATGCCTTCGAAAATGGGATAACCGGTGTTCTATACGCATGGGAACTGCAACAGGGAAAGGGTCTCATTTTATGTAAAAAAAAATCGTTCAGCTGCAACACCCTTCCGGTGCCTAGCTGCCATACTACCCGAAAGAAGCACGAGGGCTGGGATACTGCCACGTCTCCCAAGCCTAGACAGGAGAAGTCGAGAGGCAGAGGTCAGGTTCGAACCACGGACATTTCGGTCAGTAAATTCGCGCTCAAACCACTTGAGCCATTTCTCATTTGATGTGGTATGGCCCAGAGGTGGTGTATAAACATATAAAAAGGTTAACTCAAGTATGAGCAGGAAGGAGTCTCAGNATGCGTCTCATTTCTTTTAGAGAAGAGTCAAAATTTTGCTACCCATCCTTCGCCCCTAGAGGTGACCCTAACTTATCCAGAAGAAAGATAAAACAAAATTTTGGGATAGGACGTGAACCGAATTTGCTGGCATGAAAGCATCGACAAACTTGGTATAGACCGGAACAATGTGGTAGCACAACTCTAATTCGATTCGAAACACGTGTGAAGGTTAGTGACGCAACCTACACAAGCCCAGGCTGCATGGAAAAATACTCTCTTCTGTTTTTTTTTCATGTAAAATGTAGGGAGGAAGCTAAAGGTTCTAACGAAATGGAGTAAATTTCACTACCAACAAACACCGACCGCACTTTACAGGGAACAAAACGGTGAATATTAGGGTGTGTCACATCGGACGGTGGCACGTGGAGTGCACCGACAATGTTTCGGTGTTGGATACAGGTACATACTGAATGACAAAAGTTCACATCCAAACAGGCAAACAACAAAAATGAAAGTCGAACGAACCGAAAAACGATCACACCAGTCGTAGACTGGAATTCGACCGAAATCTCTGGGAGTGCAAGCTGCTTTTTATGAACGGCTATCACTCTAGCTAGTGGCCAGCGAAGAGAGAACGAAATCAAATTGCATAGTTCCAATTGAACATGATTCAGTGTCCGTGGTGTTTCGGACTAGACATAAAGTTGATCAATGGATGTGTGAACCTCATTTTTTTGCCATATGGGAACAAGTTATTTTTCGCCAAATAATAGATTCATCACTGGTGGCAATCAGCAGCAGTGTGCGTCTAACTTTTCTTCCCACCTCTTGTGTTTTGTGCAAGATAGGCCACATGCATCAACTGCCAAGACATAGGAAACTGGATATGTAAAAAACTAAAGCTGAGAACATCATAAACGAGAGATTCAGCTGGGCTCCAGGTGAGTCTCTCGAAAGAATCAAATTAGTTTGCAAATGAGTGCATATTCGCTAATTTCGTGCAATTTGGTTTCAAGTAGAACATAAGGTTGACGAAAACCCGGGGACTGCGCCTACCTGATGAGCCCCAAGAAGGGCGAAACCGGTCGTGGGCTGTCGATGGATTTTCAGCAACCTTATGAGTAGTACATTATAAAGCTGAGTACGTTTTCACGGGATCGGAAATGATGAGTGGTCGGCAGCACGTCAACAGAAGCCGTTGACTAAGCGGTAAATAAGCCACCCGTGAAAGCATGTTAGCTTGTAAAAGTGCAGTGGGGATCCTGTGAGCGGACCAAGCACGGTCTTTGTGGCCGAGTCATTTCATCCTTGCCGCCTAGTGTCACAAGTTCACCATCTTTCGCTCTGGACACAACTATGTACTCTGTCGCTTCTAAGCTGTGCAGAATTTTTCGTTTTCTTTCTGGCATTGTTGTCTACCGTGAAACAAGACACGGATATCAAAACTTTAAAATCTTTATTGGACAATGACAGTAGATGCTGAAAAAGCAAATTTTCCAAGTACACCGAAGTGTTTAAAAGTGACATTTAGAAACGTTTCCACTACCTACGCCAGAATCATACGCATCAGAAGGGTTAAACTCTGGTTAAAATAAAAAACGAACCAATCACCTGGGATTCGGAGGTCCCATAAATCATCAGGCTTTATTTCATCAACCAAGTCATCTTCGGACGAATGAGTATGCATCCTAACGTCATCTGGGGTGCGATTCATTGAACCAGTCGGCAACTGTAAATGAAAAATTCAACGAAATGGTATTCAAACTTGCTCATCCAACTGAAATTAACAGCCGGTTACAGTGCAAAAAGTGCAAACGTACTGAGTCATTTTCACAAGGGTCCTGTGCGTCCCGGTGTTCGACGACCGTGGAGAAACTTGACTGAAAGATTCGATCATTATCGATTCGGTCACTGGAAAGAGAGACAGCTAAAGCTGAGTTAATTGAAACGGCATCAGTACACCTCCGTTGGTGAATACTTCTGTTTACTAGAACACCACTGATAATAATATTACATTGGGCCTTCTGGTAAATAGGTCCGTCGTCAGTCTGACTGGAAAACAAAGAGGGGTCTGTAGTGACGACACCATTGTAAACAACGACGAGGCTTCACAAAGCTTCAAACAAACTCTACAGAGTACAAGTTCAATGAGTTTCGAAGATAAATGTGTGAAAACACAAATCAGTGACCTGTTTCCAATGAAAACGTGTCAAGTAATTGCGGAATACTAAAACAAAACAATGCGGTACCTCCAAGGAGGATCGCCTACAAGACAGAAGAGATATGGTTGCAAAAACGGTCTAATAAGTAACAGCTGGATTTAGAAGAGATGGGAATTCGGATATTCTTGAACGGAGCCTAAGTACGTATAATATGGGAATGAAAAGACAGACTCAGGAGGGAAGGTTCGAAACTGCGATCCCTTGTTTGCTTATCTATGTAGCCTAACACGGAAGCCACTTTATATAACATTCGCACTGGAACTCACCACCGCTTCACCAATCTGGTGAACTTCTTGTGTGGCTTCTGAAATGGGTTAGATGTTAGCATCCTCCAAATTCCTAAAGAGTGTTGGTTTGATGCGATGTATAGGAGAAGGAAATTCGGGAATTCAATTACATAATGTCTAAACCAATCACGCTGCTAAGACGTGAATACTATCAACCTTTCCGCGCGTCCAACGAGCACCATCGCAGTGATAACATGCTCCCCTCGTATATCACCGGTCTGAGGTTCACATCTCCATACGCTCGGGGGTATGCTGTGTTGATGGAGTCTAACAAGAGCAGAACTTGAGTCTAGTTCAGTGTGGAAAATCCAGAAAAATTGCGCCGGATAGAAGAACTGCTCACACGAAAGTGATATGGTCACAGATTTGGACATACACACTTGAATTTACATTGAAGAAAGTGAAATGGCTTTTGCAAACAGATCAAATTGAGAATCTTACCTGAGAGAGTGCGGGAAAACATCGCGCGCGTCTACCACTGGACAAGATTGTTTTGGTGGGGAAAGTGACGTTTCCACCGCTTCTATCGTTGGAGCAGGGGTCCCGATATCAATATGTGATAGTGGGTCAGAGGCGTAGTCCGGTTCGCATAATTCCTCACTTGGTTGTCGCTCATCTTCGCCGAAACTAAACTGATCGTCAGGCAGAAAATCCGTCCAGAACTCATCTGTATCGATTTGGCCTAACTCGCTCGAAAACGTTTCTGGGAAAAAACTCGCACAGATCGTTTCGCCATTGTGGAGCTGCTGTTCCGATAACCAATTGAACAAATCTGTGCTTTTGCAAGACTGAGATAAGTCAGGTGACTGAGATGTGGGTTTGTCCGAATCGCTGTTGTGCAACAAATCTTGGTTCGCCTGTAGTGAAGTGAAGAATAAGGATGTAAATGTCTTACATGAACGGATATGAATGTTCAATACCGGGGCTAAGTTGCTCCCAAATGCTGTCCGGTTCCAAAAACGAAACGGTGCGGGCAACTTGATAACTTCATAAGTGTTCATGCGTTGCACACACTTAACGACGAAGTTAGAGGAGCACATGTAGTCAGCCCAGCGAATGTTGAGCAACTGATATGCTAATTTTCGATAGTTACCTTAGTAAAAGTTTACAAGTCCTATATGGTAGATCGTAAAGATCACGAGCTTGCCCATGACCTGAATAGAAAAGTCAACCAACTAAGGTCAATAAACTAAGCACAAGTACTTGAGGTCTATGAATAAGTTTCGAAAAAAGACCCACTTCCGGCAATTCGGTCGTTCACTGGAGATAGCAGCTCCCACTAGCCGTAACTTCAACATCCTGCGAATCGATTGGACTTAAGCAAATGAGGAACCCAAAAAACGAACAGCAGAGCGGCAGACACCATCTACATGAATTCAGAGGAAAAACCTCACGATCTAACAATCAACAAATCGAATCGGCCCCCAAGAGAGTCACATGTGCTGCGCATGGCTTAAAAGTTTCAAATCTTACCAAACTGGCCGTGAGAAAACAAACTCGTTCGAGTACCACCGTGTACGGTCGTATCACGGTACATCATAGAGGAAACCATTGGAAACGAGAAGCATTGGATAAAAATCCAGACGTTTTCACTACAGTGTGGTTGATATTGTATGCTGTTCCCGGCTGGTTTCCTGGTAAGTTTTTTGTTCCGTAGAATCACGGACGTGGACAATGGGCCAACTGACGATGCAACAGATCAACAGTTAAACTCAAAACCCAATGTGCACGAATATCACGGAAGTGCTCGAGAAACCGCATTGATCAGTCAGTTCCACTGGACCAAAGAGTAACCAGGCTTTTCAATATCGCCAAGTGTCATACTGGCCGTACAGTACTTTCGTCAGTTAACTATCGGAAGAAAACTATCTTTGGTCGAAACTGTTTTTCTTTGCACAGCACTACTCTCACGAGTAACCCACCTGATCGCGAAGGCAAGTCATAATCCTTTTCGAGGAGACAAACATGCCATACGAAAGGTGAATTCTGGTTTCAGGAATCGCAAATTTAACCTCAACTAGAAATACCGCAAAGACAACGGATGTTGTAGTTGGTCTAGATTCATGGATTGACCGTCACACAGAAACGCCCAATGCCACCAGCACTTCACTCCTTGGCAACACTGACGAAATTCACTAGAAACTGCAAGATCTGTATTGTACGACAACCTTGACCCTGTTCCAGTACAGTTGGATGCCACTGCTTTGATACAGTGTTAGGCAGAACTTCTTTCTAAAGAGATTTCCCTAAGTGTTTAATATTCCAAACTAACCAGATAACATAAAAATCACATTTGAACGCTACTTTCGTCATACCCAACAGTCGGACAAGGACTGCTGAAAACGCTCGTAGATAACTGGCCAAATGCATAAGGCATCAAAGAATTCGTATTCACCACCCGTTGAGAGGAGAAACATGTCGGTATGCCGCGTGGATGTGTCACCGTCTAAACATGTATCACAGTTCGAAAAACCAATCTTACTGAGTAGTTACGGTTATCGAACAAACCTGTTAGGCCAATACTGCCATCACCACAGCAACAAGAGCCAACCACCTAAAACCTCTTTTTAAGTCTCGATCAGTAGTGAGTCATAGTCACTAGGAAATAATCTGAATGCCAAAAACATCAGAGTAAAAGTGGTTGAGTTGCGTCGCACCGGGGTGGCGCTAGGCTCTTGTCAACCAAATAAAATTATCAAACACATCATGTTACCAAGATAAACTGAGATTGAGGTACTCAGGGAACTTACCGAGAACGCATTGCTTGGTAATTCTTCGGACCTACGGTCCGACGGCAAAACGCCAAACAAAAGTTCCGTTTCACGACTGTCGAACTCGCTTGTTACAACTTCATATTCGCCATCTTCAACGGCTGATGCAAACCGGCTGATTGCGGAAGACTCAGTAGCTGCCGAATCCGGTTGGAATTCAGAATTCGCGCCTGATTTTGAAACACTCCGACGCCCCGGAAGGTTCACAATATATATCTTATCCCCTTCGTTTGGGAACGAATCGGTGAAACGATCAGTCCAGGAATCTGTGATGGGTGACCGGAGGACATACATACATATACAAGTTATGGTTTGTTAGCAAAATAAAAAACACTGAAAGTAGGGAACGAAAAGGTACCGGATGCAACTAGGAGTTTGGAAAATAGCGTCTAAAACGAGTAAGGGAATGTGAATGTAAGACACTACTCATACGGTTGCTGAAAACTTTTGAGGGAATGTGAATGTAATACACTACTCATACGGTTGCTGAAAACTTTTCGACAGCTCACGACCGGTTCCACCCCCTCTTGGAGCTCATCAGGTAGACACAGTCCCCGAGTTTCCGTCAACCTTATGTTATAACTGAACCCAGATTGCACGAAATTCGAATTATACACTCATCTGCATACCTATTTGGTTTTGACGGGATACTCACCTGGAACATACCTGAATCTCTCGTTTATGACGTTCTAAAGCAACTGAATGTGGTGCACCAGATCCCCTCACGTTTCAGTCAAACGTATGTACGTATAAAACGTATTGCGATATCTCGAAGTTCATTCCAACTGAAACATGAGGCGGTCTGGTGTAGCACATTTAGTTGAACAAGAATATCACAAACGGGAGATTCGGCTAGGTTCCATGCGAGTCTCCCGTTAAAACCAAATGGGTATGAAGATGAGTGTATAAGTCGAGGATCCGAATATTTGTTTAGTCCAAATTCAGAATTATCTAAATTTTCTGTAGCCATCTTCACACTTTTCTGGAGCTTTTGGCGCTTGGTGATTACCATTGTGAATTCGGAATGAACAAGCTTAAGAGAGGGTGACCAACCGATTATAGAAGTTTGAAGAGCATGTGGTCTTCGTAGAAATAATGAAAGGATATCTCGTTGAACGATCATATTGGTTCGAAGGTTCAGTAGGTCTACGTAAGTGCTTATAACTTGTTTCGGTTAGTGGGGCATGAGCAGATTACTTGGAGCCGCAATTAAAGCATCCTGTGACTCGATACCCGGTCAGAATCAACAAAGGTCGCATCCGATCATTTAAGGTAGGCAATTATATACTCAAGCTAAAACGTTAAACTCAGCTGCAGACTATTCGAAAAAAGGAAGGAGATTGAGTAAGGAAACATGGGATGGAGATCTGCATGGAACATTGGCCGTTTTCATCCATCCAACATGCAAACTGTGGTTCCAGTAAAAGCCCCCTAAACAGCCGAAACAAAGTGGGTTCGCTGAAACAGTATCCTGCTTTGACCCGAATTAGAGCACATCCACAGATAACGACCAAAAAGTACCCTAAATATCGTCTAGAACGAATAGACGATGACGACTTAGGAGGAGACAGATCGTGTGATAAAATCCGGCTTCTAGTTTGTCCATGAAGAGGAGGGAGGGAAAGCTTAAATGTAAATATGCAAATGCGGGCTTACAGTGCCCCATACATCACAGAAACAAACGACGTCATAGCTCTACCCAGATTAGAACTCCAACTGATTAAATGAAATAAACCACAATAATGGCACGTATCCCTTTGTTTAAATAGCGTCAAAGACTGAAAACGCAATCGCGCATGTCTCAGAATGACTTTCGCGAAAGTAGAAAAGGAGGATCCGCTTCGAAGGACGAGATTCTTCTGAATTTAAAATCAACCATTCCCTGTGATTTCACGCTTTTTGGGTGGTGAAATAGATACATGCCTGCACTGAAGCCTTTATTGTCGCAAAACAACCAAGAAGCATTCCCAGACGTACTCATCTAAGAGTGTTTTGTTTAACCTTAAAGATAAGATCAGGGAAACAGGTTAAATGGTGAAACACGACAAAGTTCATCAACGGAATCATTATAATTTCAGGCATCTCTCTGGGACTGAATGTTGCACAAAAATAGTGGGCAATAAGGCCTGTTTGATGTTGGCACATCCGGCAGGGTGGCAACACATGAAACACATAAACACAGGGCTACAAATCAACACGAGCGACGGTGATTGGAAGGATAGTAAAAGCATATTAGTGACACATTGGGAAATCATAGCGAACATGAATAACGTGCTATGCGATACGGACAGTAGTCACCGAACTAATCGACTAGGTAGAAGTACCAGCTGGGAGTCATGGGCCAAGCAATCGGTGGTTACATATGCGTGCATAAAAAACTAAAAACTAAATCCCATTGAACTAACCTGTGAAATCTGACCGTACATACTCAGAAGCAGGATTTTTCTTATCTTTCTCTGTTATACTGCAACCGGCGGTAGCCTGCCTGACTGGGTTCCCGCAGGCGTGAATGGAGGAAGGGTCAGAAACGTCTCCATTCATAGTCTGTAATCTGTATTTACTGGTGTTGTCCGATGATAACATCGAGGAGGGGGTCTCCAAGAGAGTAGGATGTATGAAAAGGTAGGTGGTACGGGAACAAGAGCGTCCTGCAACCGGAGGTTTGATCTTTTCAGATTGGTGCGAAATCACTGCCGATAAAGTTGTCAAGATACCTCGAATCTGAAAGATACACATGTAAGTTGCGCTAAGAAAAATACATGAATATGAGGTTAAACGACTTTGGCGCTTAAGAGGCTGGATTAAAAAATAAGTAAGGATAGTTGAGAGAGGGGACATGAATTCAGCAGGATGAGTCAAACAAATGTTGTGAGGTGATATGGCCAACTGTGCTTCTATCCACATGGATATGTAGAAGTTAATGGAGGGTTCTCAGAGTACACAAGAAAACTCGATTGTTGATACAAACAAAGGGCTAATGGGGGACATTGCCATACAATAAGATACGACTAGATAACGCACCATATCGTACTAGAGGATATGCCATGGTACGGGTTGGTGAGTTAGACAGCGGTCAACTCTCCAGATGGACCGCACATTGCCGAAGTCAAACATGAATTATGACTATAAATAGGAAGGTAACAACAGACAAAACTTACATCAAAGTGCAAACGGCGGTTTGAATCTGGTCGCGAAACGAGCGTTGGAAAACCAGAAACTAGTAACAAAAATAAAAAGGAAATCACTGTGTAAGGTGAATAACAGTTTTGTGAAGAGCTAGATCTTATGCAGAACCGAAAACAGATGTCGTGCAGTAAGACGTGAAGCTGACAAAGTTTATTTCACTGTCGAGACTAGCAGCGTTCTTATGGTTTTCAGCTTAGGCTGAAAAGTAAACAAACCACTGCTCAGTTATGAAATTCCTTCGGTGCATGACTGCCGTGTAACTCGAAGGAGGTACGGGGGTTGATATGTTCAAGCCTATACAACAGTAATCGAAGTGCCAAGGTTGGGTTCGAACGAGAGAATTGGCTGTCGTGACTTAACCGCCGGGCTGATTTAGGGATGAAATCACCCAACCGGTGCTTCTGCCAGGATGGCTGACTGAAAAAAGAGCGCGCTGATCTCACTGGATTAAACCGAATACATGAGCCAGACAGCGTGTCCTGAGGCGAAGCTGTGCCATCTCGCCCCTGGACGACTCGAACTTCCATGTGATGTGTTTATTATTTTTAATCGCACGCATATTTGTGAATAAACATACCGAAAAAAGCTAGGTAAGGTCAAAATGCTTCGCTTTGCGCTGGATGACTATCCACTTCAAAATGCTCGAGTCTCCAATATACTCCTATGGATGGTGAAAAATGTATTGTTTGAGCGAAGCTCCCAAGAAAAGGGATGGTAACAAACGGCTGAAACGAAAGTGAATAGAGCCCACAACCGACCTACTACTACCGTATCCTTGGAAAATTGAGCAGTGTGATTGCACAATCTAGCTTAACGATTGTACCAACGCAACTCAACAATTCTAGAGTGAGGCGGTGTGGCATAGTAACATGGGGTTAACACAATAATCTGGCCATCCGCGTTAACTGCACCGCGCAAGTTTCTTGAAACACTGGATTCAGTACTTTAATGACAATACTGTGGCACCAGCCGGCACAGTTGATGGCGAAAGAGAACTCGTATGACGAGTATACACGAAAGTTTTTGTGAAACATCGCTGTGGACAGGTAGGCTATGCACATGCATGTCCGAGTACATTAGTGATCACCAAAAGGCAGTGTTTGCATAGTCCAACAATGTAGCTATTCAGAATCTCTATCTATTCGGGTTCAGTTCGTACCAATGATCATGCTCCACAAAATAAATAGCTGTTTCGCTATGCACTGTGCTCGTTTGAGGTCAATCCTTAATGTGATCTCAGACAGAAAAAACAAATGGGCAATATGATGAGAAACAGTACAGAAAGTTGGGTGCCGAAGATCGGCTAAAGTATATGCTAGACAAGCTTGGTTTACCTGGAGGACTGTAATTTGATTTGACGAGGTTAAAACCTGCTTCCAGTGAAGCATGACACCTGTCGAAGTTCCCTTCGGAAAGCGCAAGCTGCCTTTATGTGCATACCTGTGATTGATAGCTTGTGTGCACCATCAGCGACCCTTGGGAAAGCGGAGGCAACATATCCTTCCGCACACTGGGAAACTTATTTCAAGAACATCTCGAAAAGAACTACTGTCTAACCACAAGAAACAGCGCCTCTGTAAAGACCACCTTCATCGGGTTTCTGGTTGCAAAACAGTATCCTTCCGTAGCTTTTTCAGACAATTAGCACCATGTATATTCAATAGTGTTTGGAGCCGTCTCTACTTCTGTCCATATCGAAACTCGCCGTAATTCCATACATGACCCCATGTCTCGTCGACAGCAACCTTACGATAAATCGCCTGTTGCTGTGCCTTCTTGCTTGATCTATTCTATCTTTTTTAACACCATATTTGTCCCATATTAGTCTTTAGATCTGATCGTTGGAAACCATTGGAAGATTGCGTACTACAAATTCACCCTCAGATGTACACAGCCTTCCCTGACCTGACTTACTCGGGTATGAGTACATTCTAGAAAACGATACTGAAGATAAAAGGCTAGATGACCATTTAAAGAGATAGAGCCAAACAAAGACCTCTGCACCACTTACACATGGGGAGGAGTTGCTGGACAATGAAAGTTCTAGTCAGGGCAGCTCGATTCTCTTCGTCGAACATCGGAATGGGTAGACACAGCTTGTCATTGGCCGTAATTGATGGAACATTCAGGTAATGGAACAGCACAATCGATGGACTCTGACAGAAGGGCGATCAAACATAATACATGAGGCTTTCAAAACCAGAATCAAATACTAAGATGACGTATGAGATTTTTGTGGAACCAAGAGGAGGTGAAACTCAATGCCCGATGATGTGCAATTTTCCATCAAAGAAGCACGTGAACTTGGCACATACATTGGCCAATTCCAGTCACCTTATTCGAGGACGTTGTGCGGCACACATCGACTTCGCTCACAGGACGAAATCTTGATTGAACTATTCCCAAATCTTATACTATCGACATGCTATGACTACCTCGGAAAGAATAACTCACATGATTCATGAACTTTCCATCTGGAGAGTCGTCACTCGAGCGGCCAGTAGGCACGTGATATGAATACAGTGAGTGAAGAGTGAGTGCCGCTGTATCTTGTTCATCTGAGGGTTTATCACACGCTGAACGGTATAGTCTTTAAGTACCAGTCGCAAGGTCCCGAATTCGATTTCTTGTAGAGATTAGTGAGGTGCGCACTGCTGATGTTCTCGAATAAGGATAAGACAGATTGACTTCAACTGCAATTACATACAGTTGAAATATCGGGCCGAACAGATTTACAGTATCATATAGGTGATATGTGAAGATTGACGTAACCAGAAACATTAGCATGTTGGGAGCAGTGAAGTCGATAAAGTTCGTATATTTGAAAATATAAGATAATAAAAGATAATCGTTCGGCTGTAACACCCCTTCGGTGCCTACCTGCCATGCCTCCCAAAGGAAGCACGAGCACTGGTACACTACCAGATTGCCCAAGCCTAGACAGGGGAAGTCGAGAGGCAGAGGTCGGGTCTAAACCACGGACTTCCCCGTCAGTAAATTCGTGTTCTAACCATTGAGCCACCTCGCCACTTGAAAATACGAAAATAGACTGTCACGCATGGCTGAGCAAACGAGTAGTCATTGAAGACAAATGTGGAACTTAAAACTTAGGAATGGTGGCATTCATTTGAGCATATATACAGCGAACAAGGCTAATTGGCCGCGTAGAGTGACGGGAGTTGCCAGTTTCTAAATATCCTTACACAGAAGATCCACTAATACGGTTAACACATTCGACAATGCAAATGGCTGTATCGTGCTTTACACCGCATCGATCTGCGTCTTTCACAATATAACTGCCAAATACGGAAATCTAGCCATGTGGTACGGACAGAAACTGCAGGGTAACCTGGGATGGAAAGATCGACTGAGGCATGTGACAAGCCCAAGTGCCATAGTCTGAACAGGTCTTCAGAGCGAAGGTCCTAATTAAGGTGCACGAGCACATATTCATCCGAATCTCCGTATCAACACAGTAAATCCACCCTCATCGGGAGTTGAGTGGTCAGCGTAGAATAGAGGACATGATTGTTCAGGCACCCTAATGAAATTTATCCAAATTGATTAGATTAATACACAAGTGCATTTTGAATCAGCATTCCCCAAGACGTATCATCGAAAATTCGTGCGGTACAAGAGCAGCAGGCAAAAACAAGCATAGAAGGGAAGTGGTGGAAATAGCAGTGGAAGTTGAGACAACAAGTGATGGTCAGTGATAACAGATGGTCCATCGCTTAGTCTGTTAATTCGATTTTGAAGCACTCGTTCAAAGAAGAAACAACGCTAGCTGAGCAATCGAGCAGTCTTTTCACGACGCATTGACTCAAAACAAAACCAGGAGAAAGCAAGGCTACGAAATCATGAGACAAGAACGACAGTTGAGCAAATTTGTTGTCAGGACTTCAAGAGAAATAGTTCGTACGGTAAGACTTCCGTGGTGCAGTTTCAAGTTCAGGTAATTAACGATAAATCTGCTCTTTCAGTCCCAGGAAGGTGCTCACACTTGCGTGAATCACTTTCAATAGAAACTAGAGAAACTGTAGAGAAACTGTGGGGAAAAGTCCCCCAAAATTTTGTGAACTGCGTTCATCCTACAGGCGAAGAATACTTTCTGTCCCTTGACTTGTTTGATGTGAGCGAAATTCGGTCCATTTCGCGGGCCACAGGCGTAACCTTCAACCACCTGCACAGCAGCTGGTCTGAATGTGCTGAAGTACTGTCCCGTGAAAGTTAGGGACGTTTCTTGCTCAATTACTACAGGGTACTGCTAGTAAGGGGATTCACATCGCAAAACAACTGAATCTCGCAAATTGTTCGGTCGAACATATTTCTTATAATCAAGAATGAGTGTATTCCGAATGTGGGAAATTGAGGCTTCCTAAAACTAACCTCTTAGATTTTCCTTCCACAAAGAATTCACACACAGAAGGAGCATCGTAGATGTGTCACTACATGATCCTAAAACCAAGCCAACCCATCACGCCACGATGCTGTCATCTTGCAGATGAACCGGCAAGTTCTGCAAATAAGCCAGCAACTGTATTCGCAACCAGACCAAACGGCGTTCGCATCACCATACACTAACGATTGAGTCGTACATTCAAACAAAAAACACCATGGGTAAGTTCTGTCGTTTACACTGGGCAAGCCCACGAAAGAACTCGACCGGACTATTTTCGCAAACAAACGCGACATGGGGCACAACTCAAGCAAATATCGATATCATCAAACTGCCTAGGGAAAGGTAGGGTGAGCGTAGGGAGGCAACTTGGGTGGAGTACAATAGTAATTAATCGAAGAAGGAAAGATAGGTGTGTGGGGCCTACGGTGGTAGACTTACATATCGAAGAGAGTATGTGCGTCTGTGGAATGTTGACAGGAGCGCAGAGTGTGCGTAGTTGGCCAGAATACACTGTAAATATAGGGAACGATGGAGAAAAATAAGGGTGAACATGTGACGAAACAATGAATTGTTTTTGCTAAAAAAGGAATTCTCACAAAAAGGTAAAGCACTAATTGTTAGGAGATTAGTGGTAAGAAATAATATTTATAGTCGTCCAGCTGTACCACCCTTTCGGTTCCTAGCTGCGACGCTACCCGTAGGAAGTACGAAGGCTGAGATACTGCCCGGTTGCCCAGACCTAGACAGGACTAGTCGAGATGCCAGAGTTGGGTACAAGCCACTGACCTTCCGGTCACTGAGTGTACTTTGAGCTCGTGGTGATCGGAAACTGCGGGACGTTATAATCGCAAGTTAAGTGTTATCCTTGTTGGAGCACAGACGCCCCAGGTTACAGAACTCAAGACAGTAGAGACAACTAGCATCCTTTTGTCCGAATGTCTCCAGTGGAAATCATAAAGCACTACAGTTCTTCACGTTAAGATGCTCTAGCACTTTAAGAAAGTTTCCATTAGAATATCATGAGGACTCGACAGAAAACCTAAGGTGGCTCAGCAGAAACTTAAACGTGACTCGACTGCCAATTCAAACTTCCCTGAGTTGTGTAAAACGCTTCAGTTCTCACGTCAAGGACTGAGCACCCCTTGAGACCACCTTGTGATTTCAGCCGAGACGCATGTGGGTTCAACCCACAGACTATTTAGAGATGATGACTTAAATGAATACGACGGGCCCGTACAATATCCGTGGGGTTCTGTCATCTGGTTGAATACAGACTGGTAATTTTATGTCACCTAGACCGATCCGAATGAGGAACACAAAGTAAATTGGTGTGGGTGACAGCACAACGAAAAAAACTAGAATTGTTGTGTTGTGCACTGTTTCAAGAGATATTCTTAATTAGTTAATTAACTAACTAACTCCAGGCCGTTTTAGGCTGAGTAGCATGTCCCCCAACATCATACTATAATATGGATCAAGTTAAATCAACCACTTTCAAAAAGGCCGTCGGTATTCCAAATGTTGCGGTTCTGAAAACATCGGTAGCTTTAAGCGTCAGTCTACTAGTGGTGCTAAGTCAATCATAGAGGGTACTGTGGTCGTGAAGTTCATGGATTATATTTCGATGTTTCCATTTGGGGCATGAAGAGCCCCAAAGTGCACCTTGAGCAGTTTTGGTGAGTTTTCTTCCTTGATGGACGATTGTACAGAAAGAATAGAGCAATGCGACATTGCTCCCACGAGAGGGGGATTCTTTTGGGGTTCTCGTGAAAGAGAGTGGCATATCGCAGAATACCGCTGCAATCTGAATGGACTTGTGAACGCGAACTGTATCAAATGGGATGTCGTTGCACCAAGTAGAAGTCAGGTGAACTACCGAGGCCATATCCAAACGGAAGAGAATCCAGTCCAACCAAGCCGTTATTTGTCACCCCAACACTGCAGGTAAACGTCAAGCGTACGATTCAATAGAGTATTTTGCAAAATTATGTTCACCAGTTCTGAAACACACATCGAATGGAACGACAGTTCATAGTGAACCTAGAACAAGTTCGCGTTGCTGCTTCTAAAGGCAGAAAAAGAGCAGCTCCTCACGAGATAAATACATAAATCCCATCAGCATTTGAGATAAACAACTGAAATGATAACAGACCAGAATCCCTTCTTGGTGGCATGTATAAAGAAGTGATGATGTTCAGGAAAATGGCAGGGTTACCCAGTGGCATTCGTGACAAGAAGCGGGAATTCCACAAAGCCCATGAAGTGGTCCATTACGTTCTATCGGATCTTCATTCGTTTCAGGCAGCGGAAGTAAAAGCCTACGAATTATAGCAGTTCAACGGACACATCACTCCTTCCTCGTGCAAAAACAACCAAAGATACCACAATGCCTTGATAACCGGAGCCTATGTCCGCAGAATGATTTACCGATGGGAACCTAGAGCGCGTTTTCTACACCAGGGTAACCGAATTTTAGTTGAATATGAACTGTAAACAGCTCTTTTGAGCTCCCCTAGTGCTTCACCTAGTGACACGCATCCTCGGCTGAGACACCGCAGTGCAACGTGGGAAACTCACAAAAAGGCCGTCAGTCACCTAGGCAGTCAGGAGTGAATAATTTGTACGCGGGTCTCCCTAACATTAATAACATGAAATAAGGTTAATTATCACGAAGATGAATCGTAACGTAAAAAGGAAAACAATGGTAGTCATTAGGGAGGGATGATACATGTGGAGTTACCATGCGTTGCTTCGTCTTCCCAATGTCAGTTCAAAAATCTTTACTTCGCATTGCGTCATCATCATCCCCACCAGTAGTAAAAACTGACGCCTAACTACCACACATCAATGGTGGAACAAAGTCCCGGTAAATAGTGAAAAGTGGAAAACTGTCCACCTCTTACAAACCCACATCTCAGTATCATGGTAGGACAATCAGCACGATTGATCCAGTACCACGCAATACAAGCGCAGAAAACAATGATGGGCGAGCGCTAGCTAGATAGTCCAGCTAAGAAGTGCAAGTAAGTGTCTGGTAGTCTGAGAATACAAACAACCTAGTATATTTACAAACTTCCCGGGCATTTATTTCTGAAACTTATTCCTACATTCGAACGTTGCGGGTGTGATGTCATCCGGACGAAAAAAATCGGTACCGCTTGGAAAAAATTACGAAATCATAGACCTCCGAGAACGTATGCAGTTCTAGAGAAGTTTGACAATCAGACTGAGTGGCAGCAGGTGGCTAGGGGAACTGTTTTTTTAAAAGCTCGGTCCAGCGGTCAATGTATCCTTCTTTATTGAAGATGGCCACGACACTTTGATTCTTGAAGGTTTTATTTGCAGACGGATTTGGTGACCGGTTGCAAAGATCAATCGAAATAATCTTCGTGGATTTCAGGCAGTCTTCGCCTCTTCTATTTCTTTAGACTTTCATATGCCCCACGAACATGCTAAGTTTAAATGGACGTCTGGTGATTCGCCGGGCTAAATTATGTTCGACATCGGTGGGTACACTCCTCCGAGATTCAGGCATTTCCAGAACTTGAGTAGTGCTGGTAGCGCATTGCCGCAGTTGGAACTCTCGGAATTGTACAAAGATGCGGCTTTCTCGGTTCAGTGTGAATCGACATGACGCTGCGCTGGTTGGAAGATAGCCTAGATGATGCTTTTGATGAATTCGTTTAAATTCAGGATCGGCGAGCCTCCCACTTGCTACACGAAGTACTGACCTTTTACTTTCCTCTAAGAACGAAAACAGGAGCGACTCCGGACGAGCGCATGATGTCTGAGAACGAGCAACAACAGGCTATTGATTCACGTTACCGGTAACTGCTGGTGATGTTTCGCTGGCACGCTTTTGAGCATCATGCAGCCAGACGAATTCAGTTATTTCGGAAGTTAGTACAGCACAAGAACAGGTATTTCAGTATGCAGCTGAAGCTGTCGTTTGCCCGTACAGAACGAGTTTAATCCCACTCGACCACTCAATTGAGCCACTCAATTGAACCACTCAATTGTACCTAGACTGTCGACTAGTGAATTCAATCGGATGTACCTAGACTGTCGACTAGTGAATTCAAATCTCCGGCAACCACAGTGGAATCTGGGTTTCTAGCCAACCCTCAAGGCGTCATTATTTTTTATAGTGTCAGGGCTACAGTTAATTAGGGCATGAGGAGACATCATAAACAGAAAGCAATCAAATTCCTTTTTGTGAGACAAACGGACTTTACCAGATAAACCGAACAGTCAAGGAAGGGTTCTTCCGCCTGGTGACTTAGAGTGACGCCGATCCCTTCAAAGCCTAACAAGCGGCCTGTAGATAGCCACAGATTCACAACCGGAAGCGAGTGGAATAATGGGACATTCATATCGACGAATGTACTTGGATCTTGAATCCTTATTGCTGACACGCAGCACAGCAGATATAACAAACACCAAGAGAGTACAGCATGCGAACAAGAGCAGCCTGTCGCTACGCTTGCTTCCGAGTGCAAACATCAAAGGCAACCCGATAAACCTGGGATCGAAGCTCAGAGATTAATTTGGAGGTGCCCGAGGGTTCCTGTTCTGGCTGACAGATACACGTCACGGCCAAGACTGATGCATTGCACTTCTTAAAGAATAACTCGCCACAGATGCGAGTTGTTGTTGCCACAACCCCTGACTTGGAGAACCAGATCGCACTGGTTAGACCTCTAGCCACTGATCAAAATGATTTCAGAGACTGCGTGTCATTATCGTCAAATCTGTCCAACAGGCTGAGAAGTCGAGCATCTGATGAGATCCCACCCGTGCACTGAGATATGCAGCGACTAAAACAGTACATAAGCTATTCGTTATGGATTGGAGTGGCTAGTTCTCAAAAAAAACGTGCTTCACCAAACCACAGCCACACTTATTTGGTACACATGCAGAAACGACGAATTAAGGGTAGTACTTCGGTTAGTATAAGTTTTTATGAAAGTTGACGAAGTGCATAAGCCGTTGTATTTGAATAACGGCGATACCGTAGGCTCGATTACTTCTACTGGATCCTGCATTCGGGTTTCAGGTGCAGCAAATGCCTGTTATTAAACTTTTGAGAGTAGAAATTCGTTCAGCTGTTTCACCCTTTTAGTGCACATCTGCCATGCCACTGGAAGGAAGCATGAGTGCTGAGATACCGCCAGGCTGCCCAAGTCTAGACGGGAGAAGTTGAGATGAGGAGGTGAGGTTCGAACCACGAACACTGCAGTCTGTAAGTGCGCGCCTCACCCACTGAGCTATCCCGAGTTGGCACTAAAATGGCTTGTTGACCGATTTGCCTGAGAAATCTCACATTAAAAACAAGTGAATGAGGCTTGTGAGGCAAATGTGAACAGTAACCAGTCACTTCCTTAGGTGTCAGACTGATGAGCCTATGGGGCTCTACAGAGGAGTGATCGTGATGTGAGACACGGTGGAAATTAGGAAATAATAATGAAGATAGACGATAGCTTAAGCTTGCCCGTCCCACCGTATGGAGCAATTTGATGGTACCATGCGATGGTCGACATCACATGAAATTATTAATGTTTGTACGGTTCATGGTTCGATGTAGGCTGATATCCTGTCCTGACACTTAAATTTAAAGCGCAGGATGTTTCAAGCCCTCAGCCAAAGTCTTTGGCTTAAATGCTTCATTGTAGGGAGACAGCTGTTAATCTGAGACTACCGACTTCTAGGTGATGAACAACCATCATATTCCAGCCCTTATACAGCCAGGAGGACATTCGATCTGAATTCCACCCACTGACTGCACCAGCATGAGAATCTGCAAGTGTCATAGGGATAACTTAGTGGGTCAAGGAGGCGTACACACCACGTTAACGCCCAGCCTCATCACAACGGAATTCGCACTGCAGTTGTCATTTGCTGAATTACCGACCAGGTTGTTGAGTTCACTGAGTGGGGGTTCCGTGACGTGGCAGAATAGTGTATCAGAAGTTCTTATAACATCAACCTCTTAGCGTGACAATCAACCTGTCGAAGAAATAAGGTATTTTTCATTGTGTTTTCTCTTGAACAGTAAACGAGCAATTTTCGATGCGGTGAAAAGTCTCGTCTCTGGCTCCGGAGGACTTTTTCCTCAAGTGAGGAGGTGAAAAACTGCCCCCTCGATGAGGAATGGACGAGGAGAGGAGGAGCTCCTCTGGGGAGTAAAGTACCATAAAAATTATGCTGAAATGCATAATTAGTAATAGTAATATACGACTGGTCCTCGTAAGTGACATTCCCCTCGCGCACCCTATTTTTTGCTGCATCTAGGGGAAACTGCTCTTAAAAAGAACAAGGGTGTGTAGCTGTTATCTAGAAGAACAACTGACTATAAGAGGGTAGTTTAGTTGGCCTAAGTTGCACAGCTCGCACATATTCTAGGCAGACATCTCCAGTGTTACTAATTTTGGTATCTCGACCCCATCTACGGCTCAGAGCATCACTGAAAGCAGAAGCGGATCCATTGATTGCGTAGTACCATTGTACGAATCACCACTGTGCAACTCTGGTTTCAGTTTTCATGGATCTATGAGTTTTGAATATTGCCCACATCATACATATATACATACGCACATATATGTAGATTTACGTAATATATACATCGTTTACCACGGAAAGTCCTCGAAACTTGTGAACGTGTAAACTTGCACGAACAAGTAAGAAAAATTTGCATATTCTTATACCTCGACGCCGTCCACTTTGAGAACCATATGCACCTCTTTGACCGCTCGACGATTCGGTTTTCGTTGCCAAAGGTAGCCATCTTGTTTTCGCGCCAAATTGGCCGTGTCACGTCGGTAAAAAAGCACAGTACCGTTTGGAGGCCTAGAACGATAGGAAAGGACATCATAGACAAAACTTTCTGCAAGTGCTAGAAACAGAACCAGATTGTCGTTGGGTTAACTACGACCTCATCGGAAGCAATGATGATAAAACCCAACTTACCTAACATTCACAAACGAAGACAACCAGTCCTGATTAAGTGCAGCACCCAGTAATAGTTCGGCAATTTCCTGAGTGACCAAGAACAAAGGAGACGCTTTGGGAATGGATTGAGAACAAACATAGCGACTACAGATGAGTAAAAGCTGGCAAACTATGAGTAACACATATGACGTCACTCAGGAGATTACTCGGTTGACAGATTACTGTATGGCATGGAAATTCTTTTGAAGGCTAACCTCAATACGTCCACCCAAAACTAGGTCCGCGGAGCTGTAGCTAGTGTCCTATGAATGTTCATTTTTGAAAGTGACCGTGAATTGCCCTTTCTTCCACAGCACAATCCAAACTAGATATTGAAGCACGTAGAACCTACCGATCCAGATGTGTCTGACCGAAGCAACAGGGCTGGTTTCTGTCCCATATGTACATCGCCCCTTATTTTTGACCTCAGAATGGCTACGGGTGTATAAAAACTACTTTTCATGGCTGGGAACACAAACATCGACATCTTTCTTGGAAGGTGTCCGTCAATAAACATCTTATGTTCTCCTGAATGGACCTTGATACTTGATTAGTAGCCCGAATCCCGTGCATTCTACGGGTTGTACGGCGACCTACAGAAACGGCCAAGGAGTCCGACATCGAAAGTTAGATAAGGTCGGTACCTGTGTAACTCTTTCCTAAGATCGTCCGACATGGCCAGCTACAGCCTATGATATACTGCAGTAGAAATCAGTTGAAATTGAGTAGTTGTAGGACCGGAAAAGCCCAATCAGAGTCTGAAGTACGGATACAGGGATGTGAGCAAAGTACCAGACTAGTTATACTTTTGTCCCACACGTTCCGTGCACACTTCAATGGACAAACAATCGTTATCTTTCTGAGTAACAACACCAAGTACACATTCGTAACCACAGTTTATTGCTGTGTTTATAGCTTCCATTCCAGTCATCATCGTATTCGTCCAATGATAACAAAATATCCTTCAACCGCGGCCACCTCAAAACGAATGGCTGTCAGACGACCCAAAGAGGGTATGAGGACTTACACTCCACTAACGAATCCGAGGTCAGACAGGCGCGATCGATAAATCAGAACTGAGTTCGAACTACACTTTCCAGTCATCGGCTTGCAAAAAAACTACTGAGATTCCTCAAGCTAAGCTAACAGTATCCAGAATAATTACAGAGGAGGCCACCCCTATAGCTGCATCGCTTTTCCCATTTACCATGATCCAATGGAAAATCCCCCAAGGAAAACCGAAGAGCCTATTTCCGTGTGTATTATATCTTCGACTGGATTACTGTAAGTAACCGTATGGAAAAGGTCCTCGACAAGATCAAATAAATACAAGCGATGAGTAAAATTTAAAACCCAATGCCCATTATGAAATAGTGTACAGTAGAACCATGCGTCGGTCATGGGCAGTGCATCCAACTATCATGGTCACAGCTCTGCAGCTCGTTATCCATCGCCCACAGAGTGGAGATGGTAACGGGTGACAGCTTGTCCGACATGGAGAGCGGTGTGGAACAGACGACATAAGCAAGGTCGAGCCGCACTGTGACAAAACAATTAAAAGTTGGATACACAATCTGATTATCCACCAGCGGACTGCTTGTCCTGAGTAAAAAAAGTTGATTCAACAAATGATTACGTTCTAAAGATCGGAACTTCGCCCCAACAGTTGTTCTACTTGTGCACATCAACAGCTACTTTAAGGGCATGAATGGTAAATGTACTTAACAAAGGTCCACCAGTCAGGCTATGATTGTTCATCATCACTGACATATTAGCAGATGACAACAAACCATTGAATTGTGATGACTACTGCGTTTTCCGGATACAATAAATCAGTGTTGGTTTTGAAGTGAAAACTGATAAACCAAGTCAACAAAACAACTAAGGAAAAGGTGCCCGGTCCACGAGCTCTTTCAACCACGGTGTCACATATCAAACTACACGTTACCTCAAGCTGGAAGCTTACCTGTTGTTGGTACCAAACGAGTTTGTGCGTTGGACGATTCACAGACGGAGATAAAGAGCTCAAGCATGCAGGCAACTCGAAATGGTAGGTGGGTTTCTGCGGCAAGCCATCGTGAATACGAGTAGCACAGGAGCCAACGCTAAATCCAGCCGAATACTGGTCGTCACCTGATGCCATAGACCTCATAATACAAACTGCTGTGGTGATGACACATCTACGGAAAACGACGCCGATTTTCCGGGAGGTTATAAAAATCGAGAGAAAGCATATATATGTTCCAGCTGGTTAAGAATGCGTCAGGAGAGCTTCACGTGCAATATGCAGAGAAGTTCCGAATTCCCAATTATCTGCTCTTGGGAAACCTACAGGACGCAACAAAGGAAATTTTTCATTCACAAAGACTACGTTTGAAAAGCGTTGGTTCATCACCAGACTTTCGATATAAGGAACAAATAGGGTACAACGATTAAAAATTGACTACGTTGAAAAGTGATCACCTTTAGGTAATTATGTAACGCAAAAAAAAGTTAGTAGCCCAGGTTGAGCAGATGAGGGTTGGTTTGTTCACCAAACCTGCAAGTGATTCGCCACCAGTCACAGTGAAATCAACAATGTGTGGTTCATCGGTAGGTCGTGGTTTTGGGATGAGACGCGCCAAGTTGAGGGTAAAGCTCAAATAACTTCGCTTGTCGATACGCTCCCAAAACTGACCAACCATCCAAACCAACCGAACAAGCACTGCGTGTGTGGAAATAAACACTCATTTGCTAATGTCGATGATACCAACAGGAGGCATAACCGAATCCTTCAACTGAATGTGCTGCACAGAGACCGTTTCATGTCTTGTTTGCAGCGACGTTCAAAATCTCGAAGTATACTTTGTACGACACTACTCTTGATTGGTGAAAACTCCAAGGTTTTTCAACAATCTTGTGAGTAAATGAATCAAAGTCATAGGGCACAGCAAGAGTGAGCAAACAGGGGTCTTTATGCTCGCCCACTACAAGAACTGCAAGCTGCCGCAACTCCCAGACAGACTGGATGGGAAGTGACAAACAACGCCATTGATATCAGTAAACCAGTGTATTTTAAAGTTTTAGTCAAGTGGAGGAAGTCATACAGGGCTCATCTTAGAACTCCCCTTCTCCTCCATATTTCAATTCCAGGTCAGTTCATGGCTAGCACCATATCGAAGGAAGCGGGTCATGGGGGTCGCTCAGCTGTAATATTCTTTAGGTGACTAGCTGCCATGTCGCTCAAAGGAAGCACAAGAGTTGAGATACCACCAGGCCGCCAAAGCCTAGACAGAAGCAGTTAACATCATCATCACCACCATCAAAGACGGCAACATTAGTGATCAAACTGAAGCTTCACCACTGTGGTCAACATGCATAGGTTGAGTCCAAACCACGTACCTTCCGGTAATTTCGTACCTTGACCACTAAGCTGCCTGGAGCTCGCCGCATACTCCATGATGAAGCATCACAGTTTGCGGTGCTAAACGTTTTTCGCAACTGAAGTACCTGCACAGCAGAATTTCTGTTCTTAATTGACTCCATACAAAATCGTTGACCTCAATCAACACTATCTACTATTATTGGTTGTTGAACAGGTTGCTGTTGATCTGCTCGCCAAGCTTGGCAATTGCAAACTTTTCGTCACCATTCGAGGATACATCATCAGTGCGCAGTTGGCGTAGCTCGCCTAACAGATCAACAGCCACCTGATCAACGACCAATAAACTCACCCGAACTACCAATATTTCGACACACTATTTACGATTCGGAAACACTGGTAATCAAAGATCTGAAGACAACTTGAATTATCCGTCTGTTGAGGCAATGTAGTTCAACCACACGGCGACACACTCGAACACATTAGCAACTTTACCGTGTTTTGAAAATTCTCAGGTGTCAGGGCATGAGTTCATTGACGAAAAATTTGAACAGTAATGGGAAGACTGGGTATCCATTTCGAACACCAGAGTATGAGCTTTTGGAGAGCACCGCGCACTCTCGCAAGCCCGGAATCATTCAAACATAGGAAAGGATTGTGTCCACTGATTCTCGCAACATACCATGCTTAGCAAGCCCGATTGGAAGAACCCATCGATCGACAAAATCCAGGTCCACCTTACGTCACAGAACGCCAAGACTGTGGACCGCAAGAACACACAGGAGTGCTATAACAACTGGTGGAGTGTGAGGATGCGGTTTGCATAGCCTATGCTCGTCTGAAATTGTTGCTCAAAATTTCAGGTACCATTACAAATCGACGAGGAGTAAATGACGGGTGGATGTGACAACGAAACTGAAACTAGCCTCTGTGGTTAACATGACAACGATAGGAACTGAGGCTTAGCTGAACAGCCACCTACAGATAAAGTTTAGTCCCACTTACAGAACGAGGGAATGTTAGCTAAAAACAGGGGGATATATTAACTCAGAAACTACAGCTGCAATCACAACCGTCGCAGCGTGGAGACTCCTTGCGCTCTCCAGGGTAAGAAACTGGCCCAACGACCTCACCTGTGAATCTGTCGTCTTGAATACACATCTCCTCCGAACATAATTGTTTCAGGCATCATCACCAGAAACAGCGATATTATTGTTAAAGCTGATGTTTCACTACCGTACAAAGATTATCCAATTTTTCCTAAACCCTTAAAATGAAAACAGAAAAGACTGGATGACGACGGAACTATATGCCGGTCTGCTGCTGAGGCGCTTACACCTCCAGACACTCGAATAGACAATCTGTAAGGAAAATGACTGCACGAAAGCCACCGGCGTTGAGTAACCGCCGTTTCTTGTAATGGCTCCGGCCAAGCGCTCTGAGGGTCATGGGAACCCTAATCTGGAAGCCCTAAACATCTACTCTTCGTAAACACCTTCGTAATTGCGAGGAATGTACACCTTCAGACACTCATTCATGCAATCTGGATGCAAACTGATAACAAGAACGCCACTAACATCGATTAGCAGCCAGACATAGAGAAGATGACGATTAGGATTTTCAAAGGCCTAACTGAAAGGTAGCGCATAAGTGCGGGATTGTTGCCAGAGTAGTACGATTTTTAAGGGACACTTTGTTCCTGCTCCAAACCTGGAGCACAAGAAGTCAAAGTTCGTCAAAATTCTATCTACTGACAAACCTGGTGTGAAACTCCGCGGGGTTAAAAGTGAAACACCCCAGTGTAGGTTAATGAGTTATAGATGCACATAAACTGCCACACCGTGACAACGTTCAGTCTTTTTGCAACGGTTATTTCGGATACTGAATCAACACTTGGTAAATGGAAGCAGTTTTTGAAGAGATGAACAGCATACCGACCTACAGGGTGCCATATGGCCTCAACCGTGATCCCATCAACAAAGGCCAGATGTTTCCTATCGTACTTCTGTAAGAGGCAAACTAAATCAAATCCTGAAAACGACTTTCGGCATTTGACGAGCTTGCGGAAATCGGCATCCCATGTGTTACCTGTTTACGTTAAAGTTTCTGAATAAAACAGACGGAGTGTTCGTTCATACACACATAATCCGTGACGTTCAAAAACAAGATTGGTGGCTTCAAACTGCGTCAGCGATATATCTTCGAAGACCTGGCCCGGTTTTATGCCTCGCTAGACGGCAGGCGTGAGGTAGTCTTTTGGTACGTTGGTGTATCGATGTCCATGGGTAGCGAAGTAATCGGGAGAACCATGATATGAGCGATACCTATCCATGGTNGTATGGTGTATTCTAGCAATGGCCAAATACCAGTCGGCAGCAGGATTTTCCGAAAGCCGATGGATCACATAGGTAAACCAAACCTCAATGCCCAGATTGGGCGAAGTGTTGAGATTCTGGTTTTTTAGGCCAGAGTGCCCGAGCAACTCAGTCCAGTTTCTCAGCTATGAATCGTATTCCGAAATGCTTGTATATAGAACGAAACTGAGATATATCTCTCAGTTTAGTTCACCGATAATGAGAGCTATGAGTTAGAAGTGAGGATCCGATCCACTCCATCGCTCTACGTTGTTACATCGCGTCCCGACTGACCTTTATGGAAGCGAATGGAATGGCAAAGTAAGGATGCAGAACCGCAACTGGCGACCGAGATACAGCCGTATCTCTCAGGGTCACGAACGACTGGTTTCACTCATCTTGAGGTCCCCATCCGAGGATATGGAAGTAACCAAACTGACCGAGTTGAATCAGGCTGCTTCGTTGCAGACGCGTGAACTGACCGTCACTGAGCCACCTTTGAAGAGGGTTCTGTGAATCAAACGACCTCCTGGCATGCGGAGCAAATGACCCAACTAACGCAAATCATTCGGTTGTATCACCCTTCTGGGGCTTAGATACCATGCCACCCAAAGGAAGCTGAGATACTGCCAGGTTGCCCAAGCCTAGACAGGGGAAATCGAGTTGCAGAGAACGGGTCCGATTCGCAGACCTTCCGGTCATTAAATTAGTGTTCTAACAACTTGGGCCATCTCAACCCTCAATAACGTAACCTTGACCGATCTACCATTAGGTGGAATTCCAAACGAGGCCTGTCTTACCCCGAGCAGTCAGGCACCGCTACGGCCCAGAAGCCCGTTTCGCACAAGATTGGCCAAAAGGTCGTGACGCTTGTCGGTCCGACGTCAAGGCGAGGCCAGCGGCTAGACGCACAATGTATTTTTCTGCAAAACCCCTGCGGACGAAATAAAAACTTTAACGTCAAAATGTCGCACTTCTTTGCATATATGCGTAGACTGAAAACCCCCCTCATCTGCCGTCATTTTTTGCGATTTGTATTAATCGATGTCCTTTGAAAATTATTGGCGCACATTCGGCTTTGAACTTCGTCTGCTGTGGCTGCCGTGGGCTAGACGCACGCCGAAAATTTCTCTGAAACCGTGGTTCGAAGGAGGAAAACTTTAACACAAAGTTTTAACATTTGATGGTACTTTTTCGGGCGTATGAGATCTTCCCAAACGGCCGCAGTTTTGTTGAAAGTTGTTTAAATCTACTCAATCCACACGATATTCAAGACCCGGGATATTCATATTTTAACTGGTTGCTATGGCTGAACATGTGAATGCGGAGGGTGATTTTGTGGAGAATTTAGCTCGCCAAAGTTTTTTCTCATTCAATGCATTTCAAGTCGCTTTGAAAGAGTACCAGACGAAACATTTCGTTATTTTCGTCTGTATAGACTCCAAAAAGAGCAGCAATTCGCTACTTTTGTATGAAAAAGCCTCCTACAGTTGCAGCAGGCATCCCTGCAGATGAAGCAGAAGCCGTGGAATTCGTCGCACCTAGTAAGTTAATGGTTGACTGTGTATACGTTGTAGCACACGTCGTACTGATTGTCCGGCAAGGTTCCACGT